TGATGTTATTTAACGTGTGATACCGATGAGATTTTTTTAAGTTTCGCTGTTTTATTCATTCTTTATTCCTACTGAAGAAACATCCATTAAATTGAGAAGAAACTTCATCGAAATGAATCTGATGTGCACCTTTTACAGTCCAATTGAAAAGTTCTAGGTTTTAGAGGGTAGAATATTGCATAGTGGTATGCTTAAGATGGATAAGGAGTCTTTCTCCCAGTTATACCAGATCGAAGAGTAAATGAAGTTGAAGATCAGCAAAGAGTAGCATCAGCACTCTAGTAATATGTATAGAAGTTGTGGTTGATACAATTGAAATATATTTTGCCAGTCATCATTTTCTAACAAGAAGTTCAGTTTTATTTCATTGATTTGGAAAAAAATACTGGGCTGGTTTTGTTTTGACAGATTTTTATTGAATGGAATAGTTACGTATGCTAGTATAGGAAAATGGTCTGTAATGTCTGTTTGAATTATCATCGAGTCTATCAAAATTTTATCATTCATACGATTCTCTCTGCTTACAAAAATATGATCGATAGCTGTTTCTGATTCCCCTGTTACTCTTGTCGGTTTATTTGTATATGATAATAAGCCATTACCGTTCAATATGTTGTGGTATTGGTTAACATCCTGTGAAGTCTTATCTAATAAATTAATGTTCATATCACCTTCAAGTAATTCCATATTTTTTTGTTAAGGTTTGAAAAATATGATTCTAGAACATTTGCATATGTGACAGTTTATTGAAGAGAGTCTATAGAAAGCTGTAATGCCATCCAATCAAATAATGTTCGGTATTTCTTATTTCAATAGTTTATCGTCAACGTTTCTTCATGCCGATGTCATCCTCATCTTACTCTCTTTCCCTCGAAACATTTCCTGAGATAACTGTAAATGTTTGTTTTTATTTCTTCATGTAATCACCGTGAAATTCTTGTAATCACCATTAAATCAGCATGAAATCAGAAAGAAATCAGCATGAAATGAGATGAAATCAGATGAAATCAGCATGTAATCATCATGAAATCAATATGAAATCAGCATGATACCAGCATGAAATCACAATGTTATCATGGTTAGTTTCAATTCGAGAAGTATCGTTGTACTTCGGGATTGTTCTGGTACAGGGTGGCTGGAATTCGTGCATCATCATTGAGATATCGTAATATTATGCCTAACAAAATACCGTTTTGAAATTTGAGAAATTCCGAATGATTTCAAAGATAAAAAAAACGAATATTCGCGATTTCATTTCTATTTTTTCATGACTATTTGAATAGATGTAACAAAAAAATAACACAATCTCATTGCTATGAGTTGCTCCAAAGTCGAGCAATGTGATACTATGTGGTCAAAAAAATGTATTTTATTGTTCGTGAAAAACAAACAACTTCAGTCGAAATTCCTCAGACAATATACAGCGTGATCCATTTATGAGTGATAACGTCATTAATTTTTTTTAATTGTTTTCTCCTTTTGAATTGATTCGAAAATTGAATCAGAAGTTGCATCAAACTGATAGATATTAATCGGTGGCCGAAGAAATTTTGTGTTTCGTTCGTAAAATAGCGAATGAATTTTAGGCTGAATAAACCATTACATTCCAATAGAAATTCCCAAGACAGAGTGATATCTGATTACCCATTTACTGAATATTTACATAATTATTCAGTATCAATACATGCTGAATCATTTACAAGTGATTATTTCTTTGACTTTTTTATATTTTTTGCTTTCTTTGCTCAACTTTGTTATGATCATCCTGAATATCATCGAAATTCTCCAATAACTTTGAAGAAGTCAAGGCAAACCTTATTTCTTGGAAAAAAGGATTGAATGGCTATTAGCCGAGCGGACGAAGCGTCAGTAATCTATAATCCGCGTTCGCTTGCCAGTCGTGGGTTCAATTTGTATTTTTTTATGAAAAGTGTAAACTTTTCAATATAAAATTTTCAGAGGGTTGGGTTCATATTTTATAAAGGTCCACCTGCCCTTAAATCACCGAAAAGTGGCAATTACCCCAGGGAAATATCAAACTATTAAAAGTATGATGAGGCTTCGGAAATAACCAGGTAAAAGTAGGGAATTACATGTGCAGTGACATTGAAACAACAAATTTCAACTATCAAGTAAACCAGATCATGGAACACATAACTAGATACATGGAAATAGTAATTATATGATGGAAGATACAACACCAGAGAACAACACTGCGTCAGATTAGTAACAAAAATAGTCTTGAATCCGCCGACCTACAACAAACAGTATATAAGGTAAGAAGAAATATAAGAGGCAAATGATAGGATGAATTGAAAAATTCGAGGCAATCAAAGTGAATTTGATCATTCAGAAAAGTTACGTTGTTTTATTTCAATGACAAATTTATTCCATAAATTTCTAAATGATTCAATAAACGGCCATTTTGGCAAACATGCAGAATTTCTAAGCTGTTGTCAATGTTAAAACTGAGCTGGGAGTTGAGAATATGGTTGGCAAAGGAACTATACTAGTGCTATATTCATCCAAGGAGGGAAAATGTGGCTTTTTCTATAAATTTAATATGTATATGCTCATTGACTCTGGTTTCAATCCATCTACCACTCTGGCCAATGTACTGGGAATTGCAATTAGGATATGCGCAAGATAATTTATAACACCTGGTTTATGGAGAACGGTAATTTCATCCCTATTATTGACGAAAAAACGTGATATCGAGTTTGTAATGTAGAAAAACATATTGAAATCATCACAGAATCTGAGAAAAATATTTGCTAATGTCTTGAGGAACTCAACCAAATATGGAATTGAAGCAAACCGTGTCCTTTGATTGATTGAAGTAAACTGCGATTGAACTTTTTTATTATTCAAGATATAGGTATAGAATAATGGAATTTGGTGGTTGTGTCTTAGTTTATGAAAAAGTTCATCATCAGTTTTTGCAATAAAACGAAATAGAGAAGGATATTCCTGTTCATTTAATGAAAACATGATGTACCTATACACATGTATGTTTACACATTTTGAGTTGTTTATAAATCACATAAAATCTAGTAGTGAGTAGAGGCAATAAAACAAACCGTATTTATTCAAATAGGTAACGTGATGAAGGTTATTGAAATAAGTATTATTCTCAGTTGATTCTTAGTGAACTAATTCAGTTCGACCCTGGTTGAAAACAAGTGCAGAAGTGAGAAGATTCCCACACGTCGGCAAAATATTCTGTTGTTTTCAAGTAATCTTACTTAGTTCGACCCTGGTTGGAAACGTGTGCGGATGACACGCAAACTTCTGCAAAAAATGTCAAGAGGATTAGGTAATCTTTTTTGAGTGTTTATTTGTTTAACGTATTATCACAGTAACAATCTCAATCATATGATCATTCATATGGAAACAATGGCGTAGCTTTAAAAAGTATTATGGCGAATTACCAGTTCAAACTGGCAATTATAAAAAAATATCATGTCAGTTCAGCGCTTTCGTTCAGAAAACTTCGGTGAATTTTTTCCAGCATCAACATTTTGTTTCTGGTTCGTCTGCTATCGCAATAACATTGCATAAAATATATCGCTGTTATATTGCAGAGAACTTATCGCCGCGACATCGTATGGATGAAACTTGAGTGGAACAAAATAACATCCCTCTGATATCGCAGCGACGTCTATGCAACATAGAATGCAATATCACAGGTCACAATTGTTATATAGTTGCGATATCTCTGTGATATAACTGTTTTTGCAGAAGGCATACTATCAAGTCACACCATTCTGGGTACTCTGATTGGTTCTTATATTGCGGAAGATAAAAGTTTCAATACGTCCTGGAACTAACACTATTATCGATTTTCCACGTAGAATGACACCATTTATACTGGGTGTCCCTCTGGGAACTGCATTGATCAATATATAGAAAACCATAGGTGGGCCGAATTTGAAAATTTGGAAGTTCACTATTGTTCAAAATTGTGACACTTCCGGTTGTACCGGAAGTGGACCCAAACTTCGTTATTCCAAATGGGATACCCTGTATATTATGAAGGTTTTCACGCATGGTTCTGAACATGTTTCACGTATATCTAATGTCCTATACACGAGTCTAATCGTTTTCGAAATATTTCGAATTTTAGGTTGAAAATTGCGTCATTGTTTTCCGATTGTGTATCGACTTATCAGTATAGGAAAGGACCCAGTTCAGAATTTCGATATCAATTCGATTACAGTTATACAGGGCGACACCAGAAAATGATATAAATCCGGTTGAAAAAATTATTGTAAGTCAATTTTTTCATAATATGGAAACCCCTCAATTTTATATTCTCATTCGAATCGGCATCGAAAATGAAGCTAACTTTGAATGAGGTTATCTATGCCTACACTCAAAAGTTTTCGAAATATTGGCGAATTTACATGTCTCAGTTCCAGAAAATCTCGTATTCTTGAGTTTACTTATTCTTAGTTGGCCATGGCGCCCGCAGTTGCGTTGGAAACAATTAACTGCCACGGAAATATCATTGTAACCAATCATGCCGGCTCGTTTGAATTATTCGAATGAAGATTACTTAAATCTATTTATTATTTATGGCGAATGCAAAATATATCACATGTTCAAGAACATGTGATATATTTGCTATTCGATATCCGCAGAAGCAGAAGCCCTCACAAAATACTGTTAAACAAATTATAGAAAATTTCAAGAACATTCCATCTCTGCCGATACAAAAATGTAGATGAAGAAATTCTGAAACAGTTCGAATAAAAGAGAACAATTAGGTAACGATATTGAGAGGTATACAAAAATTATTTGATCAGTAAATGTTCGAATTGGCGCCCTTCAACTTCCAATCATTTTTGACATCTCAAATCTTCACTTACAACTGGAAGTGCCACAATCTTCGAAATATTTCAGCCGGATAGCACTTATCAACAAAAGTAAACTCCCAAATTTTCAAGGTCGGCCCACCTATGCTTTTCTATATATTGATCGATGGAGTTTCCGGAAGAACACCTTGTATACGCACCAAATGTATATGTTGTTACGCTACTGGCTCCGTTTAGAATCTGAATCCGAATTTCGATCACTTTTTCAACTTGAACCTTGATGATTATCAAACATATATAAATGATCAAAAACACCGCGACTGGTTCTGACAGTCATACCCCAACATCCAACATAATCGCACAAGACCAGAAAACAAAAAATGTCGACCTTACCGCGTGAGATCAGTGACCTTCTAGAAACCTCGCTAGGCCAAAAAATCACCGATTACCACATAAGCCTAGGCGAAGGCAACAGCAAAGGCATGGGATTCGTGAGCGAGCTCCTCTTTGTCGACCTCACCCACAAATCAACACGAGAACAGCTCAACCTGGTCATCAAGCAGGCTTTGCCCACAGGCGGCGCCAATTCCATGCGCATGATGCGGTGCGCCTTCGCCAACGAGATTCGTTTCTACCAGACTTGCTGGCCGACCTTGACCAGATTCCAAGAGAGCTATCCTCAAGCCAAACCGTTCCAAGGCATCGCCAAGTTCTACGGCGCAGCTAAGGAAGTCGAGAAGGAGAAGCTGGTGCTGGAGAACCTCAAGCCACGAGGTTTCACGATGTATGAGAGAACCAAGGCTTTCGACCTTGGTCACATGGAGGCGGTGTTCAAGGCTATCGCGGAATTTCACGCAATTTCTTTCGCCTATCGTCACAAAGCATCCGAGGATGAGTTCGAGAAGATGACGAAACCTTTGTATAATATCTGGTTGATTATCACGAAAGCTGAGTACTTCCCGGAGATGATCAAGGAGTGTTACGAGGGGTTTTTGAAGAAAGTGGGGCCGGAATTGAGAGGGAAGATTGGGGGAAAGCTCGAGAAGTATATCAATGGACTGGCGACGGTGTTCAATGAGTGCGCGGAATATACAGGGGAACATCCTGTGCTGCGCCATGGAGATTGTTGGAGCAGTAATTGTATGTTCATATATAATGTGAGTACACGGAAAAAAAGGATTTGTTGCATCAACAAATTATTTATGCTTGAGTTATTTTTGTTGGACTGAGCAATTTTTTGTTGAATCAACCAGATATATGATTATTCCATGGAAGCAGCTTGTTTAAATCAAGAATGTAGTCTAATTGAATCAACAGTATAATATCAATTCCATCAACAAAATATATGGTTTCTTCAAGAACAAATTATGTCGATCCAAAATAATGTCGATGTTGATTCAACTATAAACATTTTGTTGATTTGATCAAACAATGATCATTTTGATGAGAATATATCTTTGAAACAACATACAAGTTGTCTTATTCCGATGTATTAATGAACTCGTTTCGAACGGATCATTTGCTTGAATAGAGCAACGAAATATGTAATATCAATGAAATATTTTGTTCATTCTACATCAACTTAAATTTTCGCCTCTAGATGGCGATCATTTCGTCCAGTCTATGCCTGCCTCGAGTTCATTATATACGTGAAGCCTGATTCTTCGTGTTTGAAATATCAGCTGGATAAATCGAACTTGGGATGATTAGCAATTCGAAATAGTTTTCCATCAGCTAAAGAGAAGTAAAGACTAAAGATCTATGCTAGGAGTCGACTAGTTTCCTAGTTTTGTTTATCTATTGATGTGAAATTTCAGAAAATTCCCGAATATTGAATTTGGTTCAACAAAACAATTTGTCGAATGGATATATAGTTTCTCTTGAATCAACAAAATATTTCATTGAATTAACCAAATATTTTATTGAATCAACCAAATATTTCATTGAATCAACCAAATATTTCTTTGAATCAACCAAATATTTTGTTGAATCAACTGAATATTTGATTGAATCAATATCTTGTTATTTTGAATCAAACAAAATGTTTGTTTGAGCCAATTCAATATCTGTTCATAAACAATTCATGGATGTGCTTGATTGAACAAGATCCAGAGTTCATGCAAGACATATTTGCTTGATTCAAACTTCAAATTCGCTCGGAAACAAGATATAGATTTACTCATTTCAAGATTATATTTTGTCGTGCATATATGACACTTTTATTTGCTCCATTCAATTAAATTTTGCTTGATTCAACAATTCCTTTTTTTCCGTGTAACAAATGAATTGTGACCTATTTATTCCACGTACGTATCCAGTTATACAGGGTGCTACTTAGAAGGTAGTGGAAACTTTCAGGGTAGATAATACTCATTAGAAATCGAAGTCATATTCACGCAATGTTCATAAAATGAAACTTTGAGCGGTGTGGCTTCGTAGTTTAAAATAGCATGATTTGAAGACAAACCGACCTTTTCAGCAGAAATCCCAGGAAATCTCGGAAATCAAGATAATCGACTTCCAAGTCGCAACAAGAGGCAGTCCAGTGCATGATTTATCCTACTGTTTCTATAGCGGCGCTTCCAAAGAAGTGCTGCAGAACTTCGAGAATCTGCTGCGCATATACCACGACACATTATCGACAGCGCTGAAAGCATACGGCTGCGCAGTAGACGAAATATACCCCATGCGCACCCTGAAGGACGAATGGACCAAGTACTCCAAATATGGGTTGATATTGAGCACCATGATTTGGAGGATTAGATCAACAGCCGTCGAAGATTCCGCCGATTTGAACAAGTTAGTATGGACAAAGTTTACAGAATTAAAACTTTGGTATGGACAGGGATGGACATGACCAGGAACTTTTCCAGTATCTTCAAAACGCAGGCCCGGATTAGAAATTTTGGCCCTTTAAGCAGCATAATGGGTTGGGTGCAAGAACTGTCAGATGACCGACACTGGAGGCAAAATATTGAAACACAAATGTCACTTTACTTATTTGTTTACAAGTGATTGAAATAGTTTTTCACAATTATTTTGGCATACGAATCGTATTTTTCCGCTATTCATCAGTTCGCTCATGCCATCACATTATGCTGTTGTGAAATGCACAAAAACTGCAGCGGAAGACGAAGTAATCCGGTTGGTACAATATGATTTAAAAGTAAGTACCTACTATAGTCACTCACATATAGTTTTCATTTTTGAGATTTGGTAATTTCTCTGATTTCTCATCGGAATTCTTTCTGCGATAGAAGCTAATAGAAATACATCTGAAATTTCTAAAATAATGCCAGAAAATTGGATTCATGCAATCAATCGGGAGGACTGGTCTGACATGCTGACGATCGTGTGTGTTGTAGACATTTTCAATCTATTAGCAGTATTAGCTTGTATTGCAGAAGTGACAGAAGGCAGAAGGAATTTTAATAAGGAATGACAACATTTTATAATGATAACTATGTGAGATTACTATTTACCTGAAAAATCATATATTCTTTAGTCTCTGCTGCATTTTTTGTGCATTGTACAACAGCACAATGCGAAGGCATGCTCGAATTAATGAATAGCGCAAAAAACAGGATTCGTATGCCAAAATATTGTGAAAAACTAGTTCAATCCTTTGATTCCTCTGTAACCAAGTAAAAAAGTGAGGTTGTGTTTCAATAATTCACAGAAGAATGAGGTTGTGTTTCAATATTTTGCCTCCAGGGTCGGTCATCGTGCACGCGACCTATATATTTTGCCGCCCACGTCAATTGAAATGTTTGGTTAGGTAAAACTTGTTCACATCATATTGTGAGGGATCATACAGAAAATATATTTAAAATTAAAATGTATTCAACGAACTCGTGCAAAAACATTAATCAAATATAGATAACAAATCATAGTTATAACATAAATGAAATATTGAATGGGAGGGTAATTTCTTGACCGGGCTCTGGTTGTGAAACTGGTATATTTAGAAATATAGCTGGAATAGATATTTTCTCTGAGGTTACAGTCAATGGAAACGGCCAATGTTCTCTATGAAGATTTCTTTGTTAATAAAAGACAAGCTCTCGAAATATTTTATCAACAGAAGCAAATCATAGTTAGAGGATTCACACAGTTAGTGGCGCGACCAGGATAACTTTCTAGGGGGGGCACAAACGTTTTCAATATGCCTTCATACAAACCATAAATAAATTGAGACTTACAATCATAAATATATAACCTAAAAGCAATCACATTACACAGTTCAAAATATAATAAAAACTAAATGAATATTGATTCTCATTCTAGTAATATCACAATACTATCAAGAATACAAAAAATGAGATATAAAATAAAAATCTATTTCGAATGGATTGGTATTATATAAATTATTACAAGAATTGGTTTACACTATATAAACGTCACAAAATAAAATCTATTCTCCGTGGTCTCATTTGTTTTAGAAGGAAGGGGATTTCGAAAGGATCAAAATTGACTACTCTGTGGATCAAAACGGCTAGCCCGTTTAACTTTTTCTCTCCAACCAAATTTCTTAGGGACTTTTCAAGAAATAAAAATTGAAAATGAGGATCATGCAGGAATGTCTGAATTTTTGAAAAAAATTTTGATTTGCAAAATTGCATTTCACAATGGAATAAGTGAACAGTGTTTACCGATGGTCAAGATATTTTCAATAAGTTTGATGTCGTATAAATTGAGTATGGATATTCATATCATTTTGAGTAGAAGCTGAATCAAAATACTGATTTGAGATTTCTTCACAGAAAACGAAAGCTGTAGATTATCTTGGGCGATTATTTTCAATTACCTATTTCCCACAAAAATGTTACAGGGTGGAATATGCAAATTCGACTAAATATCATGTAGCTAACTCTCCAACTCATGCAAAATTATTTTTTTATTTCAGATTGGTGGACAACGATATGACAGAAAGGAAGAGGCCAATAAATATCAACAAGGAAAAGTTCTCGCAAGCACTGAGTGATATGATAATGCACGCGTACGAAAACGATGCTTTGTGATTTTGTTCACAAGCTGCCCAACGGTTTTTGAAACCGATTCAACTGAGGAAATGTGAAATATTTCGAGACAACATCGTCTTCTCCAGAATATTGGACCGATGTTTTCGTACCACCCTGTCTGTAGGCCTGCTTCAATATAATACTTATATATGTATAACTTTCAACGCAGTTGTTACATGCTTCCAATGTCGTATTAGCAAAATGTTTGTTTGTACATGTATACAGAGTGAGTCAGTTTTTTTGTAGCAGGACTTTAACAGCTGAGAGAAGACAATTTTTTAAGATGTAAATTCTTTGTGAACCTAATATGTGCAAGGGAGCTTCGTTTCCGATATACAGGGTTTCGAAGTTTGAGATTTTTTTGTGTTTTCCAATTTTCTCCTACAATTTACAGAATCATGAATTGAAATTTGGTACATCTATCACACTTTGTAATACATGTTTTTCACCTCTAGCAATATATTTCAATCAAATCAGTTCTGTGGACCTATGTCACTGTGAAAGCACTTCTTTTCAATGCTTATTAAAATCTAGTCACCATATGACAGCATATGACAAATAGTTATTGATATAAATACCAGGAATAACGTATCAGAACAGTGAATTCGGGTTAATTATAACAGAGTTGGCCTTGTCTTTATTGGCTAGTGGTCCATAAAATGACAAGAACCTACCAATTCTATAGCTAGTATAGTGGACAAAAATTTTAAACCATCAGTAGTAATTCACTGTTCGATTGATTTGTACCTATACGTTATCCATTGAATAAATATTGATAATGATCATAAAATATTGTTTTCTTCTTTTTTTTTCCTAAAAAAATTTCCAGTTAGCCACAGAGGTGAATAACTCACCACACCAAAAAGTATTTTTTCGCCTACCATATATGATAATAAATCATATCAACCCTAAGAAAATGTGTCCGAATGTAATGTATATCGTCCCTTGGGCTTCTCAACTCAAAACAATACGATTTAGTAGTTTCTTACTTTCTTGACACCTTTAAATCACATTAAATCGTAGTTTGGAATCAATCGAAGTTCGGAATCAAGAGAACAATTATGTTTCTGGTAGCTGCTATGATCCGACCTATCCTGGAATACTGTTCCCATATTTGGAGTGCAGCACCCAAACATACCCTGAAACTGTTGGATTCTGTCCAAAAAATGGCAATTCGTCTCGTGGGTAATGCCTCGCTCACAAACTCACTTCTCTGGAACACCGTAGAAAAGTTGGCGATCTGGCTCTATTTCATAGATATTTTCATGGACGATGCTCTTCTGAAATATCAACAATTGTACCTCCCTTGGCAGTCCCCGCGAGATTAAACCGTCGACTTGAGGCTTCGCACCCCTTCGTGGTCACTTTGGAGACCTGCAGAACATCTCTTTCCAAAGACTCGTTTATCTAACGAACAGCGACGCTCTTGAACACATTGCCAAGGGAGGTGTTCCCCGAGGCATATAACCTTCAGAAATTCAAGAAGGACACCAATTCCTACCTCATTTCCCTTGGTTCTCACGATGTTCTCTGAACATTACAGGATGTCCCTACTCGTGGGAACCAGAACATAAAAAAATGCTTAGAAACAGTTGTGTGTCACAGATACAGAAAACGCTTTAGCAGCCCTTGAGACACAATATACTATTGTTGAAAACACTCCAGAGATACCCACCAAATCACATTGATTACTATAGTATTATATTATCATTATTATTATTATTATTATATAATACGTTGTGTGATTCAGTACCAGCACCTCATCGTGCTATGTTCAGATTCAGAATATCGACGGGTGCTGGTTTTATGATTAAGACAACTGTTAAAAAGAATGTTTTTCTAGTATGGTTTGCTAAAGAAAAGTTGCATAAGAAGTGGAAAAGTTACAAAAATAATGTTGATTATGAAAACTTTTCCAACTTGCTTTGAAGCTTCGAAACATATCCCGTAACTTGATTACAATAAAGTACAGTTTTGGTGGAGTAGACTGTATAAGAATTTCATCCTGTCCTATTTCAGGTATGGTCTGAATCAAAGCGGCTATCCACTATTACGAAAACAAAAGCATGATAAGTAGTCGTTTTTGAAATTTTGGCCCATCAATCAAACATAAATGAGCCTCGACGGAATTTCATTTTTGGGACCTCATATGAAGGATAGTATTTATGTTCTCTAATTTTTCACAGAAAATTCTGCGATTCTCCCTGGCACAGGGGGGTGGGGGCGTGACCCCCATGTCCCCCCCTCTTGGATCCGCCCTTGACGAAGTGATAGTCCTGTCTTTTTATGAAAACATGATTCTTGCACACCGCTTTTTCTCATTAATCTGTAATTTCACAATCATTAACGATTTCACTAATAAGTTAAAACTTGATATTCCCGTTCAATCATTTATGCACCCGAATTGAATTTCATCTTTCATTATACAAGGTGAATCATTAGTGTGGCAAAGTGAGATAACGGCTTTACTGTTTGAGATAGATGAACAAAAATTTCAGAGATGATCTACGATCATGAGCAGCACATTTCCAAATTATTTCGCTTTATACAGGGTGACTCAGAAATGCGTGGCGTATCGAAGTTATACTTTTTCTTATGAGACATCCTGTATATCATTACATTTTCGCATTCTCCTTCGTGAGCTGATTTCAACGATGCATCACACTTGGGGTCTAGCGAGAATGATTACAGAGATATATAGGGTGGTCAAAACGAGAGAAAATAAAACTGTGACTTGCGCAGGCGCGATTCTTTCAGAAGTCAGAGAAACAATTTCCAAAATGTGGTTGGAAATTCTGAAAATTCTAGTCGTATGTTCAAATTACACTTTGGAAACAATATTAATTAATGATTCTCATTGTAATTATGTGATCACTGAATGTAATAAAAATGATATTTTGATCGGGCTAAGTACGCTGAGGGTTTCGATCAAGAAGAAGAGTCCTTAAATAAAAATGAACTTAATACAGGCAGTTAATGAAAGCAACAGATTAGTGAAAAAGTGGTGTGCATAAATCCACCTTTAATAAATCATAAAGCTATAGTAGACGAGAAAACAACCCGTTTCAATTCCATTTATTCAATAAAAACATTTTTACAATACAAGGTGTATAAACAAAAATCTCCTAAAGGAGACATTGGACATGATAAAAATGTAAAACATACAATGTAAAACACTTAGATGTGCCACAGAATTACCCTCCAAGGGAGCCCTCAGAGGCAGCCGATGCAGGCCTTGCCGATGATTTCTGTCTAACAACCCTGATGGCAGTCGGAGGGAGCTGACTCCAAGGAGTAAACCTTTAACCCAGCTCATGCCAGTGAGTTGCTCAGGGCAAAAAAGATTGATCGTCGATTGCTACCTTTTTCTCTCTAATTTAGCATTATTTGTGTTGGAAAATAAAAATAAGAAACCAACTTTTGAAATTTTTCTGTGAAAGACACTATGAGGGATGAGGGGTGAGATAGGTGTGGGAGAGTGATTGGGATCTAATGATTGGAATCTAATAGACTGATTTCCTATCGGCAGATATACTAGTTTTGTTAGCCGATAGTCGTGCTAAGTTCTCTGAGTCCTGCTCCATATCAGCCCATGTTTCCTACGGATGTCATGATCTGCCCTTAATCACGTTATATCTCTTGTGAGTTCGCTATTCTGGATGTGATGTTTATAAAATTTATTTGAAACGTTAATGATGTAATCTTTAATCAAGGTCAGATCATGACATTGAGCATGCATATCAGCCACTCGATACCGTTAGTAATGATTCGGAGTACCTTGTACTGTATCACCTGTAGCCTTTTCAGTTGAGTGGCGGAGGCGCTACAGTATACCGAACAAGCGTATGTAATCACAGGTCTTATCACTTGCTTGTACAAGAGCAGTTTGACAAGCAAAGGGTCGTGTAAAGTACTGTTGGTATATTTTTTAGTGAAATTCATCAACTCAGTCTTCTCATGATTGACACGGATCTTTGCATTGTCAAAATACGGTATGATTTTCCTGTCCAGATGGATCTGGATCTGAGTCCTGGCGACGTCTGAACTGTACGAATGTGCGTATACTGCCGTGTCATCGGCGTACAGTGCAGTACTCGCACGTTCAAACACAGGAAAATCATAAGTATATAAAGAGTACAAGAAGGGTGACAAACACGACCCCTGTGGAACACCTGCCTCGAGTGGCTGACTTGTTGAAATTGTATTATTGATTTTGACTTTTATCTTCCTATACGAGTCCACGATCTTCACAATAAATATCGACAGCCCTGCCTTAACAATCTTGGATATTAAACCTTCATGCCACACCGTATCGAAGGCTTTCTCGATATTCATCAGTACCATAACATTGTTCTTATCCTGATTAAAGGTTTCTTTTATCCCGTGAGCAATTCGGGCAACTCGGGACGTTGTGCTATGCCCCTTTCGAAACCCGAACTGCTCAGGTGGAATCACACTCAGGTCTTCGGCAAGAGTGTTGATCATATAAAGGAGGGTCCTATCTACCTAGCGATCATGATGAGCAGCCATATCGGACGGTAGCTGCTTGGCAATTTAGGGTTTTTGCCAGGCCTGAGAATTGGGATCACCAACCCCGTCTTCAGGGACTCTGGGTAGTGCTGGTGTCTGATAATGGCGTTTACTATATAGTGCAAACAAACCGTTCATATACAAATAACATGAAGGTTATTGAAATAAATTATTCTCTGTTGTTTCCTATGAATTGAGTCAGTCCGACCCTGGTTAAAAATACGTGCAGGAAAGGAAACTCCTGAACAGTCGCAAAATATAGCAAATTATTGTGCCGTGTTCATAATTATTCTATCGTTTTTTTTTTCGAGTTATCTTATTAATTAGTACGACCCTGGTTGGAATTCGTGCGGATGACTTGCAATCGTTGGCAAGAAAATATAAGAGGATTACACATTATTTTTTGAGTTTCTTCTATAAGTATTTGTTCTAATGTAGGTACATGCGATAAATGACTTTGAATTTTCATTTATTAATCTCCAATAATTGTACTTTGATATGGAAACAATGGCGTAGTTTTTTGAAATACTACTATTAAATTCTATACAGAATTGATGAATACATTTTCCAGCAAATTAATTTAAAACAAAAAAATATATCGATGAGAGAATGAACAGTCGCGAGTGAAAACAATCATAAAACTTCGCTGGGGTCAACGTAATTTTTTTCCGGCATCAACCGAAGCATTTTTTTGCTCTGTGACTAAACGATCTGTGGCGGGAAAGAAGTTCGTCATTTCATCTCTGTTGACAGTTTATACAATGTCACTTTTCATGAATTACTCTGTATTTTTTTTCCGGATATACAGGGTGGCATTGAAATAAGTGCAAATATTTCAAACACTGAGAAAGCTCGACGTGTACTATCGAATGACACTAATAAAGGAAATTAGGGATCAAAATAAAATTTGAGGTTAGACCCTTTTTTCCACTCGAAGTTCTACACTGTAGCAAACCTGACGTCACCTCAGTTCAAATTTCCATGCACAATCCCGCGGAGTTCAATCATGCAAATTGTTTTAAAGTGGCGTACTTGATTTTTTTCTCATATTTTGTTCAATTTTTTGGATGCGATTTCTCGTTAATTAGAAGAATTGAAAAAAAATCTGATATCATGGGGATATTCCTTAGACTGTATCATATTGATGTGCTGAATATGTGCACTTATTTCAGAAAAACCTTGTATATCACATAAATATAAACTGTTGATGGCTTCTGTTGTGCAGTTCCGAAAAATAAGCCAATAACACTCTGTCTCCTAGACAGAACTGCACATCCTTTTATCTTCAATTCGACTTCGCGGTAACGTGAATTACAAAACAACCACAAAATTCGCAATTTTTTGAAATCAAATCACAAAATTAGGCTGACAAATATTTGATTACTTCAAAAGAATGATGAAGATGCCTGCAAAGCAGCTGTCATTCCTGTTAAAAACTTCAAATTCCACGTCGGTAATTTCTCATATCAATAAAATGTAATATCTTCCCAATATTGAATCGTCCTTCTTCTGTCGCAGAAAAAATTGTGTATTTATTATTACTGTTATCCTTGTATAATAAATATCTATTTCTCTTAGGAAACGGCGCTTCGTAGGAATTCGGGATAAAGCACTTCAAATATCGAAGTCGAATTAAAAAAAGAAAAATCTTGTGTACGTAGGACCACACGTGAAGGGATATATTTCCCATATCTTTTGAACAAATACGGGGAACATCTGGATGGAATAATATCAATTTTATGTATTATTTCCACGTATTTGCGAACAGGATGAACTGATACTCAATAACAATCAAGAAAATATTGTACCGACTCACACAGACACCGAGTACCGACAGTACCGGCTCTCTCAGCTCAGCTCAACTGATGTGACACTTAGCATGTAGCCAACAACCAAAATATGAATCAAAATTATTTGTGAAAAGTGAATTGTTGATCGTTCAATAATCTGATGCTCGCTACACAATTTTCAGAAACGCTTGTGTGAGACGGGTAAAGTTACATAGTTAACGTTTGATATATACATCCTCACATCCTGAGGTATGTTTAAAAAAATGCTCTTCATGCCCAATCGACTTAAACATCAACGTAATCAAAAACTATAAAACAGTTAATGTAATGTTACTTAATAGGAACTGGAATAATAATTCTCATAAAATTTCACTTTGCCCGTCCCGGTGCGGGTAAAGTGAAATCCTAATATGGGCAAAGTGAAATACTAGAATAATAATGGAGCGAATAAAAATTGATTCGAAATTTTCACGATTTCAGAACGAATTGAAATAACAACACAACTAGAAAATCTCATTTAAAAGTTGATGTACTGTAAGAGCTCAGGAACAGCAAAGAATCCTTTCCGCATCTACTTCGGCTTATTGATAATCATGAGTAGATCAACGTAGGCATAGGACATCTAATCCTCTTTTGCAGGCCAACGAAAAATTGTTGAGTTCCCTTCATACATTCTACTGTCAATTCGTCGTTGGATTTCTCCACTACATCCTGAAATATCATTCCACATTGCCCTCACAGCATTTGTTTCACTCTGCCCGCCTAGGTTCCGAAAACATCAGAAAGGGAAGAATTCTTTTCGAGAAAGTTCGAATAGGATCTTTCTACACTTATGTATTCTCGAAAGACTAATCAGGTCAATGAAACAAGTTATGAAGCTATGTCAGGGCCTTCTGAAGTTACTAAAATACTTACAATTATCATGGCCTAAACCTCCAATAGGTGTCATCGAACCAAACATCTATGTAGAAGTAGTGATAGGTTATAATAGATAGTAGGCCCAACGATGAATTTCAAATCTAAAATGATATTTCACTTTGCCCGCTCGCTTCACTTTGCCTGTTCCTCCCCTACGTACCAACTGTCAGGGGTGATAGATACCATCAGTGCTCGTAAGTCAGAAATCAACGAGATCCTGCAGACTCGTCGAGTTCAAGATTTGGAATTGTATTCATTGAGACATTTTCACGACTAACTCCATATTTGAACAAGAAGTTGCAAGCCCCAAATACGACTTCTTCCCTCTAGCTCTATATAAAACTAATTTTAAATTGGCAGTTCTTTTTTTTTTCCTCTTCCCCCCCTCTCCGAAAAAAATCCTGGGCACGGTCTTGAGATGATGTTCTATTACTTCTATTTAGATTTGTGTTTGCCATGAGGACGTAGTGTTACCGACTCATAAAGAAAAAGCGGCTTTACTGTCGAGGTAAATCATTCTGATTGGCTTCTATATCCCAGGAGATGAAAGTTTCATATACGTCGTGGAACTGTCACTGAAATATCTCAAGCGGTTTCGGAAATATTAATTATTAATTTCTCTTTTCATCACCACCACGTATTTTTTAAATGTAACATTTCTGAACCAGAGTCCACTATTGATTTTCCATGTAGGTATATTCGCACCGAATTCATCCGTTGTTACGCTACTGGCTCCAATTAGATTCTAAATCCGATCATTTTCAACTTGATCCTTCAACATTATCAAACATATATAAGTAACCAGAACCACCGAGACTGGTTCTGACAGTCATACCTCCACATCCAATATAATCGGACTGAATAAGAACTGAAAAAAAAAATGTTGACTTTACCGCGAGACATCAGTGACGTTCTGGAAACCTCGCTGGGCACCAAAATCACCGATTACCACATAAGCCTAGGCGAATGTAACAGCAAAGGCTTGGGATTTGTGAGCGAGCTCCTCTTCGTCGATCTCATCCACAAATCAACGGGAGAACAACACCATCTGGCCATAAAGCAGGCTCTGCCCTCAGGCGGCGCCTACTCCATGCGTATGATGCGCAACGCTTTCGCCAACGAGATTCGTTTCTACCAGACTTGTTGGCCGACTTTGAAGAGATTCCAAGGAAGCCATCCCCGAGTGAAACCGTTCCGATGCCTCGCCAAGTGCTACGGCGCAGCTAAGGAAGTCGAGAAGGAGAAGCTGGTGCTGGAGAACCTCAAGGCACGAGGTTTCACGATGTATGAGAGATCTAAGGCTTTCGACCTGAGACACATGGAGGTGCTGTTCAAGACCCTCGCGGAATTCCACGCGATATCCTTTGCCTATCGCCACAAAAAGTCTGAGGATGCATTCGAGGAGTTGACGAAACCTATGGTTAATATCTGGTTGTTTATCATGGAGGCTTTGTTCTTCCCGGAGATGATCAAGGAGTGTTTGAAGGGTTTTTTGGAGAAAGTAAGGCCAGAATTGAGAGAGAAGGTTGGGAGGAAGCTCGAGAGGTATTTTGATGGACTGGAGGCAGTGATCAATGAGTGCTCGGAATATACAGGGAGTTGTCCCGTGCTACTCCATAGGGATTGTTGGAGCAATAATAATATGTTTAAATATAACGTAAGTAACATATGGATTATGTGACCTGTTATTCCAAGTACCTAGTTACATAGGGTGTTACTTAAAAGGTATTGGAAACGTCTAGGGTATATAGATAGTACTAATTCCAAATCGAATTACATAACGTATTCTCAAACAAACATTCTGGTAGGAATTAATCAGTCTGTTTCGTTCTCGTTGGGACACCCTGATGGTCAATATGTAGTCTGACTGACGAAAAATGTCCCAAGCCAAAACGCCGCTATTAACTATTCGATTTTGAAAAACTGATCGAAGTGCTTTATCAGGTTAGGTGATGAAAATTTGATCCATGAGTCATGACGTCACAATGTCGCCATATTAATTTTAGAATTGAGGTCCTATGCGCCGTCATTTTGAAAACAAATATCCACTGGGAATTTCTCGATCTATCATATGGTGTAAAAATATCTACAGGGTGGCATTCAAAATTCTCGACCTACATATCTATTTCCAGTGAAACCGGAATTGATATAGAATAGTTGCTTCATGGGAAATATGGTTTTCAATGACATGAACATTACATTAAAAACCACTGAATGGCGTCCTGTCCGATGATTTCTTTGTCATCCCGTATCCTGCATCTCACCTTCCGTCTTCATTGGCTCAGTTATTGGCTTCATCTGTATTATAGGGTGCATTCCAGGAAAATATCTTCGTTTATACAGGGTGTCCTGGATGTCCTTTCTGTCTGAAAGCGGATGTCCTGGGACGTCCCTAGTATAAACTTTGTCCCAAAAAGGATATCCCTGGGATGTCCTAGTTTGGAATTAGGGACGTCTCTGGGAAGTCCCTGGAATGTACTCGTGTTGTTAGAGTTACAATTAAAACAATCGCGTCAATCACATCCATGTTGATATCACGACCTTCACTTGGTGACTGTGGACTGTGTGGACTGTGGACTGGACTTTAGTGTGGACTGGACTGTGGAGTATGGACGTTATCATCGAGTATTGTCCCGATGGTAACAGTATGGACAGGGTTGCCAGCTCGAATTTTATTTCTTCAGTAAATACCTTATCCAAAATTCAATTGATTTCAGTAGATGTTATGCTATATACAAATTTCAGAAAAGGATAATTAAATAAACCTACACGTCAGGAAATATTTATTTTTGACGGGAAAAAAGTTATCTGTGTTGACAGGTACAGTCGTATTCAATAAAGAAGCGTACAAGTATTAAACATAAAAGATTTCGGAATTCTAGTTCTCGATGTGTAAAATTGGCTCTGCCAATGCTTTGTGTTCTTGAGAACCTATGATTAATCTACTGTCCACATTTGGTAAACATTCATTCCCAATAGCCAGTTTTACACAAATAGGATGGCGTTAATTTCTCCCTCCAATATACTTGTACGCTTTTTTTTAATACGACTGTACAGGGTGATTCACCATAAATGTCCCTCCTCTAGCTCACTTATTTTTGAACCAATTCAAAAATTCGAAAAATAATCTAAAATGATTTTTCTGATTTTTTTTCCCGTTGCATCAGAAAATACAGGGTGCTCGGAACAAATGATCTACAGAGTACTACTTGATTTTTTCAAATGGAACACCCTGTATTTCATTGTATTTTTAGATTCTTCCTGAAGAGCTGATTTCATCAATGCATCACACTTATGGTCTAGCGGGAATTATTACAGAGATATGGGGTGTTCAAAATCGAGATTTTTCAAGTTTAGGATTTTTTTGTCTCGAAACTATTCATTATTGGTCGAAACGGCTTCTAAGTTTCCATCTTAACTTTTGATTTACTGTCTACTGACATTTAATTGGAACATTTACAGGGTGGTTCAAGATTCAGAATTCTGATCACCCTGTATCTGTTCCAATTATTAAATGTCAGTAGATAGTAAATCAAAAGTTAAGAAATGGACATGAAAGCCGTTTTGACCGATGATGAATAGTTTCATCTCAAAACAATTCTAAAGTTGAAAAATCTCGATTTTGAACACCCTATATCTCTGTAATCATTCCCGCTAGACCCCAAGTGTGATGCATTGACCAAATCAGCTCTTCAGGGAGAATCTGAAAATACAATGAAAAATTGGGTGTTCCATATAAAAAAATCAAATAGTACCCTGTAGATCGTTTGTTCCGAGCACCCTGTATTTTCTGGTGTAGCGAAAAAGACTGTATCGAAAGTCATTCAAGATGATATTTCAAATTTTGAAATCGGTTTGAAAATAATTGAGCTAGAGAGGGGCACATTTATGGTGAATCACCCTGTACCTAACATGATATGTATGATGATGGATGCAGTGTGCCCAATTCTCACAAGCCGCTCGTTTACTGTCTCAATTTCATGGAATACTCATAGGAATGCAATTCGTGATACTTTTTTCGTGGAAATATTCGTCGATTGACATACTCTCCAGCTTGGTGCTTCAATTTCGCTCATGACATTGTTCCAAAACTTTTGATAAACAATGTCATTCGGCGAAATTAATAGGCAACAGGCAGAATAGCAAAAAAGCAAGCTGAATTTTTCAACAGGAATCCCAACAAATCTCTGAAATCAAGTTTCTCGACTTCCAAGTCGCGGGAAGAGGCAGTCCTGTACAAGATTTATCCTACTGCTTCTATAGCGGGGCATCCACAGAAGTACTGCAGAACTTCGAGAACCTGCTGCGCATATACCACGACACTTTATCGACAGCGCTGGAAGCATACGGCTGCGCAGTAGACGAAATATACCCCATGCGCACCCTGAAAGACGAATGGACCAAGTACTCCAAATATGGATTGTTACAGAGCATCCTGATTCGAAAGGCTAAGTTGACAGATTCCAAAGATGCCCACGATTTGAACAAGTGAGTGGAGATTAGAGTCACTGGATATGGTATTAGTTAGGGTCCCTTGATGTCAATTGACATATTTGCCATCTTAACAGGGTACGGACAGATCATAGCTGCATTCTTTTTTAATGATCTAGAGACTTTAGTTTTGTCTACTAGCATCTCTGACATTGCTGTCACGTCACAACCATGGGCGCTACAGAAAATCATTCAAAATTTTAGTAATAGGTATGTACAGGGCATTTACTTGTTGAGGAAGATCATAATGGCGAACGAGTTTTGTAATTATGATCGGATTCAATCCATAATTGGAAGGTATCTGGGGATTTCCGGGGTCGGAGATTATAATTATTTCGTCAAAATTGGGATATTCAAGGTTCTGGATCCAATATGGTGGAGGAGTTTTGTAATTAAGATCCGATTCTATTCAATATTGTATCTGGGGGTTTTCGAGGTAGGAGATAATGATAGTTACGTCAAAATTGGAAAATTCAAGATGACTGATCCAATATGGCGAAAGACATTTCTAATTATGATCTGATTTTATTAAAGATTGGTATCTGGGGATTTGGGGGGTCAAACTCTATGATTTTTTGTCAATATTGGGATATTCAACATGTAATAAATAGTTGTTTGAAAAATCAATTAAACACGCGTTCGTAGATACTTAGTCAAATTTAGAAGAAGTAGAGAATGAATAGTAGTTTAAAAAACTGAAGAGATAGATTGCCGAGCTGAAAAGGAGTATAAAATGAATAGTATTTTGAAAAACTAAAGAAACATGCTTTTATATGGACAGCCGAACTAAAAAGAATTAGAAAATGAGATAAATAAAGTGTGCTGGTAAATATTTAACTAAAAGAATTTTTTCTAGACATATTTTGCATAGCAAAACAACGTTTGCCACGTCAGCTAGTAATCTAGTGATGATATTTATTATTCGTTCCCGATACAATTTGTATATATTGTTGAAAAAAGAAAATATTGACAGTGTCAAATGATTTCTGAATGTTAATGATTATAAAATTCAAGAAAATTAAAAGATTTTGCGATTGAATAAGTAATACACATAGTGTGATATTAGTCACTCCATAAATTCTTCTTCGAGTTGGATTTCCGAGAATATATTTAGCACACATGACAAGATTACAGTAGTTTAGATACCCACATCGAGGTTTTCACTATTTCTCAATCATAAGGCTCAGCTCATTATTATTATTTTTTGACAAAAAATCTGTCTTACATCCGACTAAATATCAGTTTCATTTCAGGTTATTGGACAACGATTTGGCAGAAATGAACAAGCCAGCAAATATCGACATGGAAGAGTTCACGCGAATAACGAGTGAATTGATAATGCACGCGTACGAAAACGATGCTTTGTGATTTTTTTCATAGGCTGCACAACAGTTCTTGAAACCCTTTGAACTGGAGAAATATGAAATATTTCGACAGAAAATCGTTTTATAAATACTGTCTGTAGGTTAATCGAGGAGGTGGTACATTCATTTTTCCAATTTTTTTGGGATTTTCTCTCCTCGTTTCTATAAAATGAAAATATGAATATTATTTCAATATACGTGTAGTAAAGTATATTGGAATAATATTCAATTTTCATTTCATAGAAACGAGGGGAGAAAATCCCAAAAAATTTGGAAAAATAAAACATCGTCTTTCTTAGAATATTTGGACCGCGGTGTTGTGTTTACACCCTGTAGGCCTCTTTGTATATGTTTAGTTTGGATTTTTTTATTTTAGTTTCTGTTGCTCACTCAATAACAGAAAAAAAACTTGCTTCTCACTTGTTGTACAGTAGGTATATTATTTACTGATGGTGTATGAATCAAGGATGAAAGTAAAATATTCAAAACAGTATTCTCAGGCAATAATTTGATCAGTATTATTACTGTTTTATTGAATTGTACTTACAAGTAATGTATTGAATAAATATAAATATTATTATTATTATTATTTTAGTTCATATAATTCCAGTCACGACCCTGCGGCCTCCGACGTCACGCAGAGTCGTGCTGGATAAAATCCAGTGACTACTCCTCACAGCCTGTGAGGTGATTAATCACTGGGACCAAGTAACGTGTGCCCTGAGTAGACGCAATGATCCTAGTATGACGGCCTTCTGCATACCACCAGCCAGGATGTGTGCCTTATCACGGCACGCTGAGATTTTCTGGATCTCCGAGAGTAGCGTGTGTCGTGTGCCTCCTAGGGAGCCGATTATCAGGATGACCAATTCCACAGAATGATCTGGATAGAGCCGGCGGAGTTCGAAGAGAAGATCTCGATATTTAGTCCGTTTCTCCTCCTCCTTCAAAACGATGTTCAGTTCGGCTGGCGCCGAGAACTCGATCACGAACATCGCTTTGGTTTGATGGTCGAGGAGGACTACATCAGGCTTGTTAGCTTGTATTTGCCTGAGGGTGGGGAATGAAAAGTTCCAATAAATTCGGCACCTCTCATTCTCCACAACGGACTCAATATCACCCGGAGCATAGGGCCGCACTGGGGTCTCGTCTATTCCGTACGAGTGCCTCAAGTGATAATAGAGCACTCGCAATGCCGCATTGTGTCTATCGATATAGGCCGAGACTGCATACACCGTGCAAGAAGACAGCAGGTGCATAATTGTCTCGGGCGCCCTGCGGCAGGCCCTGCAATTTGTGTCAGGGACCTCCATACCCATGACACGGCTACGGTAGACGAGAGTGTTGAAAACCCCATCCTGGCATGCCATGATGAACCCCTCTGTTTCTGATTTGAGCCCGCCTGACTTGAGAAAAGCGAAAGTCAGTTCTTTGGATAAGCCCCGGTCTTCAATGGTCTTTTTGGGACCTTATATAAAGGATAGGATTTTTGTTATCTGTAATTTTTCACAGAAAATTCTGAGGTTCTCCCAGGCACAGGGGGGGAGGGGTCGTGACCCCCATGTCCCCCCCTCTTGGATCCGCCCTTGACGAAATAATAGTCCTGTCTTTTTATGAAAACATGATTCTGTAGACATTTTAAATTGTTGAGGCGAATGTATGCACACCGCCTTTCATTAATCTGTAATTTCACAATCATTAACGATTTCACTAATAAGTTAAAACTTGATATTCCCGTTCATTCATTTTTCTACAAACGTCAAAAAATGACAAGGTTCGCGCATTGATGACAAACTGCGAAGTGACACTTTTTTTCAGTTTCCTACGTTACCATGATACCTTGCACATAACAATGCGCGAAGTAAAACAGTGCGCGAAGTACCTACTTCGCGCATTGTTATGTAAAATTTATGAGATATGTATATTTCAACTTTATGGTCCTCAATCGAGCAAACATCCATGAAATCATTTATTTCTGAATGTTCAACAATAACTCTGTTTTATCTCTTGAAGCGCACGAAAGGAAATTCCTATTATGTTCGTGGAACATCGTGCGTACCTAGGGAGGATAGGGGGACGCCTTTAAAGCCAGTTCAACACTATTTTTTATATCAAGCTAAGCATATTTTTACTTTAGAACTATATGTTTTGACGTTTTTAGAAAAAATATTGTTTGCAACTCGAGCGCGAAATACTTTGGTCATCTCGACTATTTTTTTAACTCGGCTACGCCTCGTTAAAAAAATCAGATCTCGATCACCAAAGTAGCATTTCGCGCTCTAGATACAAAAATAACTATTATGCACCTAAATTGAATTTCATCTTTCATTAACTATTCCCTGAGAGATGACAAACTTTTATCTCTTAACGACAAATAAAAATAAAACTGTGTCTCACGCAGGCGCGATTCTGTCAGAAGTCAGAGAAACAATTTCCAATATATGGTTGGAATTTCTGAAAATCATAGTCGTATGGACTTTTAAAACAATATAAATGAATGATTCTCATTGTAATTATGTTAAATATTTCGATCGGGTTAAGTACGCTGAGGACAATGTTTCGATCAAGAAAAAGAGTTTAAAATTGAAAGAAGCTGGTGCATAAAGGTATCTTAGTCCTTAAATAAAAATGAACTTAATACCTATGGCAGTTAATGAAAGCAACAGACTAGTGAAAAAGCGATGTGCATAAATCCACCTCTGATAAATCATAAAGCTATAGTAGGCGAGAAAACAAACCGTTCATATTCAAATAACATGAAGGTTATTGAAATAAATTATTCTCTGTTGTTTCTTATCAACTGAATCAGTCCGACCCTGGTTAAAAACACGTGTAGGAAACTCCTAAACGGTCGCAAAATATAGCAAATTATTGCGCCGTGTTCATCATTATTCTATTGTTTTTTTTTTGAGTAATCTTATTAATTAGTACGACCCTGGTTGGAATACACGTGCGGATGACTTGCAATCGTTGGCAAAAAAAAAATAGAAGAAGATTAGGCCTTATTTTTTGAGTTTATTCTATGTATTTGTTCTAGTGTACTTGCGATAGATGACTTTGAATTTTCATTTATTAATCCCCAATAATTATACTTTGATATATGGAAACAATAGCGTAGTTTTTTGAAATGCAACTATTAAATACTATACAAAATTGATAAATACATTTTCCAGCAAATTAATGTAACACGAACAAATCGATGAGAGAATAAACAGTCCCGAGTGAAAAGTCATAAAACTTCGCTGGGGTCAACGTCATTTTTTTCTGGCATCAACCGAAGCATTTTTCTGCTCTGTGACCAGGAAACGGCGCTTCGTAGGAATTCGGGATAAAGCACATTAAATATCAAAGTCGTATTAAAAGAAGAAAAATCTTATGAACAAATACTTGGAACATCTGAATGAAGTAATATTAATTTCATGTATTATTTCCACGTATTTGCTAACAGGATGAACTAATACTCAATAACAATTACGAAAATATTGTACCGACCCACACAGACACCGAGTACCGACAGTACCGGCTCTCTCAGCTCAGCTCAGCTCAACTGTGACCCTTAGCATGTAGCCAACAACCAAAATATGAATCAAAATTATCTGTGAATAGTGAATCGTTGATGGTTCAATAATATGATGCTCGCTACACAATTTTCAGAAACGCTTGTGTGAGACGGGCAAAGTTACATAGTTAACGTTTGATCCTTGTTTGATATATACCTCCTCAAAATTCTCATGAAATTTCACTTTGTCCGCTCCGGTGCGAGGTACACCACTCTGATTGGTTCCTTTATCCCAGGAGATGAAAGTTTCATATACGTCGTGGAACTGTCACTGAAATATCTCAAGAGGTTTTGGAAATATGAATTATTAATTTCTCTTTTCATTACCACCTCGTATTTTTTTAATGTAACATTTCTGAACCAGAGTCCACTATTGATTTTCCATGTATATTCGCACCGAATTCATTCGTTGTTACGCTACTGGCTCCGATTAGATTCTAAATCCAATCATTTTCAACTTGATCCTACAACATAATCAAACATATATAAGTAACCAGAAACACCGCGGCTGGTTCTGACAGTCATACCCCAACATCCAATATAATCAGACTGAATAAGAACTGAAAAAAAAATGTTGACTTTACCGCGAGAAATCATTGACGTTCTGGAAACCTCGCTGGGCACCAAAATCACCGATTACCACATAAGCCTAGGCGAATGTAACAGCAAAGGCATGGGATTCGTGAGCGAGCTCCTCTTCGTCGATCTCATCCACAAATCAACGGGAGAACAACACCATCTGGCCATAAAGCAGGCTTTGCCCTCAGGCGGCGCCAACTCCATGCGTATGATGCGCAACGCTTTCGCCAACGAGATTCGTTTCTACCAGACTTGCTGGCCGACTTTGAAGAGATTCCAAGGAAGTCATCCCCGAGTGAAACCGTTCCGATGCCTCGCTAAGTGCTACGGCGCAGCTAAGGAAGTGGAGAAGGAGAAGCTGGTGCTGGAGAACCTCAAGGCACGAGGTTTCACGATGTATGAGAGAACTAAGGCTTTTGACCTGAGTCACATGGAGGTGCTGTTCAAGACCCTCGCGGAATTCCACGCAATGTCCTTTGCCTATCGCCACAAAAAGTCTGAGGATGCATTCGAGGAGTTGACGAAACCTATGGTCAATATCTGGTTGTTTATCATGGAGGCTTTGTTCTTCCCGGAGATGATCAAGGAGTGTTTTGAGGGTTTCTTGAAGAAAGTAAGGCCAGAATTGAGAGAGAAGGTTGGGAGGAAGCTCGAGAGGTATTTTGATGGACTGGAGGCAGTGATCAATGAGTGCTCGGAATATACAGGGAGTTGTCCAGTGTTGCTCCATAGGGATTGTTGGAGCAATAATAATATGTTCAAATATAACGTAAGTAACAAATGGATTATATGACCTGTTTATTCCAAGAACCTATAGTTACACAGGGTGTTACTTAAAAGGTAGTGGAAACTTCCAGGGTATATAGATAGTACTAATTCCAAATCAAATTACATAACGTTTTCTCAAACAAACATTCTGGTAGGAATTAATCAGTCTGTTTCGTTCTCGTTGGGACACCCTGATGTTCAATATATAATTCCAAGAAAGGATAATGAAATAAACCTATGTGCCTAAAAAATTATGTATATAAGAACTATCCCTTACCATACCCACCTGCGTTAATTCTTCTCTCATTTCTCATATACAGGGTGGGGCATTAGTGCGTCGGAGATCGATTGATCGAGTTCTATGATAGCTAGAAACTCGATTCAAAAACGAATGTGAATGAGACAACAGGGTTCATAACTAGAAATTATTGCCGCCTATACTGGGGGCACTGGAAAAAATCAAGAGGGTCAGGATCACTTTTTTTAAATGGAATGTATGTTAGCACATTTTTTTAAATGTCCCTGTGACCTTCAACAACTCCTATAATATTGTTGACTATATCTCGATCATTTCAAAGTTATTATTTTTTTTGTCGAAATAATATCATCTGCAGATGCATACCGAAAAAGTCACAATTATGAAATTCAAGAGAAAATAATCATAAAATCATTCGATAGAAAGATACGTGATATTTCTGTAGAATGTTCATGCCCTCAAATTATACAGGGTGGCTATATAAAAATGATTTTTCAATTGAGAACTTTTGGAAGTGATTTTCCTCGAGTTTTTCAAATGGAACACCCCATATATTTCAAGGCCATTCGGTGTATCTTTCATCTCAACAGCCATATTGATATTCGAAAATTATAAGGTGGCCATTTCCGATACACATTCTCATCAGTTATTAAAACATCAGAAGTCCAATTTATAATGTATTCAACTTGTTTTTATATTGAAAGAATTGATATCAGAATCAAAGCAAACAGAGATAGTTCATGATTATGCTAGTTATTCACAAAGTGAAAAAGAACAAAATTTCCATTTTGCATAATTGAGAATTATTATTCTGGTTTTGTTTTTGATGTGCCATGAATTCATGGGATATTTTGAAAATTTAATTTTTCCCTTTTTTACTTTGTAAATTACTATCATGAACTATATCTGATGTATGTATCAATTCTAGTTTCAATTCTTTCAATAAAAAAAAACAGTTCACCAAATTATTAATGAACTTTTGATGTTTTAATAACTGATAAGAATGTGTATGGATAGAAATGGCCAACCCATAATTATGGGAGTTCAATTCAATTCAATTTTGTAAAATCTTCCGCGTTTAAATTTTTAAAATTTCAATTTAATTAATATTGATCATCGCGACGAGCTTTAATAATCATATAAAATTGTGTATAATGGGGTTACAAGTTTATAGTTTTTTTTTCATCGTTTTGTCTTCATATCTTTGCCGAATAAAAAAGTTTCTGTAGACAATTTTAAAAAAAACTCATCGATAATATTTGAAGGACTCGCGGTATTACCGATAAAACTGATTCAAAAGCAAGCTGAAATTTTCAACAGGAATCCCAAGAAATCTCTGAAATCAAGTTTCTCGACTTCCAAGTCTCGGGAAGAGGCAGTCCTGTACAAGATTTATCCTACTGCTTCTATAGCGGCGCATCCACAGAAGTACTGCAGAACTTCGAGAACCTGCTGCGCACATACCACGACACTTTATCGACAGCGCTGGAGGCATACGGCTGCGCAGTAGACGAAGTATACCCCATGCGCACCCTGAAAGACGAATGGACCAAGTACTCCAAGTATGGATTGTTACAGGGCATCCTGATTCGAAAGACTAAGTTGACAGACTCCAAAGATGTCTTCGATTTGAACAAGTGAGTGGAGACTAAAGTCACTGGATATATAGGTCGAATGCACGAAGACCGACTCTGGAGGTAAAATATTGAAACACAACCTCACTTTTCTGTAGAACATTGAAACAAAACCTCACTTTTTCATTTTTCTACGAAGGATTGAAATTGTTTTTCACAATATTTTGCATTCGAATCGTGTTTTTTTACGCTATTCATTATGGGGAAGACCACTAAGAAAAGGAATCCGTGCAAACCTCTTTCAATCGACGAATCATGATTCACGTTTGATGTACAATCAATATTATGAGTTGAAGTTGAAGGGAATCGAATCTATATGGTTTTGAAATCAGCATATTTCATTCGATATTTCAAACAGCCAAATATGATGGTGGATCCGTGACGTATTAGTCCCGAGCTGTAGCTATCTCTCTCTGATACCTCGTCATTCTGCAGTGTTGCAGTGTGATTGGTCAGTTCAAGGACAATAGGCGTGTTGGGACTAAGACGTCGCACCAGTCACACCAATGAATTGACGAAATCTCAAATGGCACAGGAATTGTGTGTTTTGAAATGGACATATTCTAATTAATGTTTTCCACCTTCTTAGCATGAATTACAAAATTCGAAATTGATTCACTGGTAGTTTTTCAGTATAGAGTTCACGATAATGTCGTTTTAAAAATTCAGTGGTCTTCCACATTCAAGAATGCCTTCTCATTGTGCTGCTATACAATAAATAGAAAATACAGCGAGAGACTAATGAATATAATTTTTCAAGTAAATAGGTAGTAATCTCACATAGTTTTCATTCTGAAATTTTCTCATTTCTTAATAAAATTCCGTCTGCCACTTCTGCAATAGAAGCTTATACTGCTAATAGATTGAAAATGTCTACAACACACACGATCATATTTCGTCAGCATGTCAGACCAGTTCTACCGTTTGATTGCATGAATCCAATCTTGTTGCATTCTTTTAGAAATTTCACGAGTATTTCTAATAGACTGCTAAATCTCATATAACTAAGAGATCTAGGATGAACCGAGTTGCCCCAATTGTCAGCAGGAGCGAGACAGTACTGTTTCGACCCACCAGGTCTCATCAGCCGCTCTCGGTCTGCTGACAACTGGGACAACTTTAAGCTTCGGGTATATCACCCATTTCGAAGATGCAGGGGTGTATGGGGGTTTTCGGGGTCGGAGATTATGATTCTTCCGCCAGAATTTGAAAATTCGGGCGGAATTTGGAAATTCAAGATGGCGGAACCAATATGGCGGACGAGTTTAGTAATTATGATCCGATTCTTTTCAAAATTGGTACCTAGGGGTTTTCGTGATCAGAGATTATGAGTCCTTCGTCAAAATTGAGAAATTGAAGATGGCGGATCCAGAATGGAGGATTTTGTAATTAGGATACGATTTTATTCAAATTTGGTATCTGGTGGTTCTCGGGGTCAGAGATTATGATTCTTCCGTCAAAATTAGAAAATTCAAGATAGCGGACCCAATATGGCGGACGAGTATTGTAATTATGATTCGAATCTCTTCAAAATTGTTATCTGAGTGTTTTCGGGGTCGGAGATTATTATTTTTTCGTCAAAATTGGAAATCTTAAATTGGAATTTGGAAAGGGCGGGATTTGGGAATCCAAGATGGTGGAACCAATAATATACCGGACGAGTATTGTAATAATTATATACCGATTCTATTCAAAATTTGTAAGTGGGCATTTTCTGGATCAAAAATTATGATTCCTTCGTCAAAATTAGGCAATCTAAGATGGTAGATTCAATATTGCGAACGAGTTTTGTAATTATGTTCCGATTCTATTCAAAATTCTCAACTGGGGTTCTAGGAGTCAGATTTTATGATTATTTCGTCAAAATTGGGATATTCAAGTGAACTAAAAAGAAGTTAAAATAAATGGTACTTTGCGAGTTCTGCTAGTATTTGATAAACTCAATATCGATGGCTTTCTCCATTGGACTCTAGGCATAATACAGGGTGGTCTCTGCAAATTCGACTAAATATCATTCAACTCTCCAACTCAGACGACAATTATTAATCTAATTTCATTTCAGGTTATTGGACAACGATTTGGCAGAAATGAACAAGCCAGCAAATATCAACATGGAAGAGTTCACGCGAATAACGAGTGAATTGATAATGCACGCGTACGAAAACGATGCATTGTGAATTTGTTTATAAGCTGCCCAACAGTTCTTGAAACCCTTTGAACTGAAAAAATATGAAATATTTCGGCAGAAAATCGTTTTATAAATACTGTCTGTAGGTTAACCGAGGAGGTGGTACATTCATTTTTCCAATTTTTTTTGGGATTTCCTCTCCTCGTTTCTATAAAATGAAAATATGAATATTATTTCAATATACGTGTAGTATATTGGAGTATATTGGAATAATATTCATATTTTCATTTTATAGAAACGAGGGGAGACCGAATCTGCTCTCGTTTTCAACATAAAAAATCGTAAAAAATGGTTATTTGAATAGCAAAGTCGTATCTGTCTTGAAACTTTTCAATTCTCATTGACAATAATTGGTGACGTTGGCAATCAAATGAGTTACAGGATGTTTTCATTAATTCACGAAGGAACATAAGTACAATATACAAAAGACACATCGATAAATCGTACCTAGCTGAACATATCCTTACTGAAGACGGACAACAAATGGTAGATTGAAATAATAATGAAATCATTTGAAATGAAGATAACAACCAGAAGAGAAAAATCGAGGAATTTGCTTGCATTCTTCTGAACGGAGGCAATAGCATTGCTTCTTCTTCAGTTGATATCTGGACAGAACATGGTATTCCCTACTGAAATCTGAACATGAAAATGGTAAATTCAAGATTTATTAATGGAAAAAATCCTGTAACTCATTTGATCGCCAACGTCTGAAACTGAACTGAAAAGTTTCAAGACAGATACGACTTTGCTATTCAAATAACCATTTTTTATGTTGAAAACGGGAGCAGATTCAGTCCCGAAACGTCCAAAGATAAGTGAAAATTTGATATTTTTTCTATGTACCTTTGTTTCTCTTCTTCGAACTGTTTTCAATACAAATTGTCATTGACAAGCCAGTGAATTTTTCGTTTAGGCTCTCTGATAGGAAAATTCTTTAAACGCAGTGACATTCTGGGGCAAATCATCTGATTTGTCCTTACTACACGTATATTGAAATAATATTCATATTTTTATTTTATAGAAACGAGGGGAGAAAATCCCAAAAAATTTGGAAAAATAAAAAATCGTCTTCCTTATAGAATATTTGGACCGGTGTTGTTTTTACACCCTGTAGGCCTACTTTTGGCATTAGTGATACTTTTTTAACTTTCATCACAGTTGTTGCACGCTTTTGGATTTTTTTCATTTTATTTTCTGTTGCTCACCCAATAACAGAAAAAAACTTGCTTCTCACTTGTTGTACAGTAGGTATATTATCTACTGATGGTGTATGAATCAAGGATGAAGTAAAATATTCAAAACAGTATTCTCAGGCAATAATTTGATTAGTATTATTACTGTTTTATTGAATTGTACTTACAAGTAATGTATTGAATAATGATCGCGAAATAAATGGTCTCTTTTTTTTGGAATTTCGGTAATAATAATAAGATCTGAAATTTCTATTTATGATTCATAGATGAAAATTCTCATTTTTCAAAAAGTTTTAGTTATTCAGTGGAGAATTATATATTTTTTTAAAATTGAATTATAGTTATTGTTACTTTTCTATTTCAAAGAGAAAAGGTATGACTCACCAGAACTTCTCTTTGCAATGTCTTTAGAAACATACTCAGAGCTCATTATTATTATTGTTAATTTCGTTTAATACTGTTTTTGCAATAAACTATAAATAAATATGTATATATAATATATAAATATAAATAAAATATAAAATATACACATGTTAACATCACAACTATTCTGATTTTTTTCTGGTCATTCTGTGTATAACCTCACAATAAGGCACCCATGGTAGATTATTCGATATGTTGCTCCCTCCACCTCGAGTCATAAGGAATGCAAATCACCAGAAGACGAATTGTCTTCGGAGAGGCCCTAATACGGAACCTTGTGGCACTCCAAATTATCTTTTTTCAAAATGTTTGTATAGGAGAGAAGAGGAACAGGGTACATAAAATAGTTATGATTTTATTCTTGATTTTTGTGAGCTCACTATAATCTTCAGTTCATTTCATCGTTCTGTAAATCTTCTGTGTCATGTTCTGTGCTTTCCATTTCGGCAGTTTGGTGATCCTAAAAACGGATTTTTCTATTTCAATAGAACTTCAAAATGTTAATAATTTCACAATTATTTCATTATAAGTCTTTTGGTGATTGGTACATGCTGAGTTCGACATATACAAGGAATTTTCAAATAATTAATCAAAGTTTTTCGAGATATTTTCATTTTCAATGGTACGAAAAGAGTAGCAAAAAAAGAGACACTAATTTTTAGATAAAACATTTTGGAGGTGAACACTTCGAAAATGTTTTCTTGCATCAATATATACATAATAATATACTGAACATGTTCAGTCACTATTAAAAGGAGACAATTTCACAGCTAAGTGTATACATATAACACTTTTGACTCTTTTTTTTGCAAAAGAATCTCCGATTGAGTGTTGTCCCATGGTTTTTTGAAACACCCTGTGCATGGGAAATGAAACCGAAATACTCACCATGAGACGCTCTCCATTGAGTTTATCTCTGTAGCTTCGTTCGAAAAAGTGACACTGAAAACAAAACAATGAACATGAAATTGGTGTGTAATGGATATCTACTGAAAACTAGAACAGAAAAACCACAAAAAAAACTCGATATTTTAGTGTACTCTTGTATACTCAAATCAAGGATTATGATTTTTTCACATTTAGAATGTATCATAATTTTGAAATTTCATAATATATAACTTTCATGAAATTTTCTATTTGAGTCTATAAAACAATAGTCGAACATCCATATTTTTTCAACTTCGACTATTTATTATTCAGAGACCACCGCAAAGATTTCGATTTTTTATATTTGATTGAAAAAAAAAACATATGGGGGAAATCAGAAAACCAAAATCACTTCAAGAGTGTGAATTAGCAATTATTTAAGACAAAAAACTGTTTTCCTTGTTTCGCAGTTTTCTCCCTCGCATATAAATACATATGAAAATACAGGGATATAGTTTTGGAGATATTGGCACTTGCATGAATTTCGTGAAAATCGAAACCTTTGATCAGTATCTCGAGCTAGTGCCGCAGATACAAAACTTCAGAGTTCAAGATTCTAATTTTTGTTATACAACCTTTAATAACTCTTCTATTAATTAAAATCCAAAACAAAAATATATTGGTGCAATATAGTACCTTTGGAGAAAAAAAAAAACATGTTTGATTCACGAGTTAATTCATTTTAATCATCTTACTTAGACTATGTATACTGTGAACAAAACCACCAAAAGTGCCAATATCTGGACTATCAGCCCTCGAAAGGATGACGTTGAGTTTTGGGACACCCTGTATATTATGAATTGGTCAGGATCTGGATCGATTTATAACAGATAAGTATGTTATTTCAACAGAACCAGAGAAATAGAAAATAGAAATGAAAAATCAAATAATTTTGATAACGATGAAAGTATCTCAAATTCAGTATCTGAATAAGAAAATCGATTCCATGCTGCTTTGCCCAAAGAAATTGTCTTCCATCATCAATAATTCCAATGTTAGTGTAATCAGGAAGCCATTTTACGTTCTAGACTTTCCCCGTACATTAAAGGCGCAGAATCTAATTTTTACTTGATTTTTGGTGCTTGAATAAATGCACAGAATACGAATTGGAATTTTTTGATATTCATTACCCATCTTATAAGAAAGTTTCCCATCATGTGGTGCATACTTTGGCGGTCACTTTGTAGGTTGAAGAATGTGAAAAACATACGATGTAAATACCTTATTCAATAAGAAAATCAACGCAGCCAGAAGTGAGACACCAAGAACTGCAGCTATTATCCATACCCATATCGGTACAGACTTTCTATGAGATGAAAATATCAAGGTAGCCGAATGACCCTCTATCCTGTAATAAAAAGTTTTATTTTGTTATTAGAACAGGGTCGATAATTTTTCAAACCGAAAAAAATTATAGTGTAGAATGAAATTCATTGGAAAAAGAAGAGAATATAATAAATATGAAAGGAAAAAGTAAATCAGGGGGTGAGTTTTGAAGGTAAAAATCGGATTATCTCGATTTCTGCTAAAACTACAAGTTCTATGACAAAAACTGTAGCAAGTTTGTTGGTAATTAGGCAATCCAACGACCTGTCAAATAATTTCAAAATGGCGTCTGGTTGGCAAATAAACCAAAGTCAAGTTTGTTTACTTGAGAACTTTGTGGGTTTTGGAAGCCTCTTACAGTATTATTTCATCTAGTTTCGGCTAGATTTATTGTGAATAATGAAAACTCAGTATGATTTCAAAGAAAAAATTGCCAGTAACGTGAATTGTGGTGGATTGTGGAAGCAGTGCAGATCGGGACCATTTGCTGTTTTGTCACATTCCTACTGTAATACTGTGAAAAACTCTGAGCATTACCCACAGACAATGAAGGATCTATCAAGAAAAATAAGGGAAATGTGGATAGCAGCCATCAAGAGAAAGAATCAGCAACAGAATCAATCATAATAAACCAGAGGATATATGTGACAGACACTATTTTCATAACAGGTACCTAAGAAAAAGGATTTTAATATTATTTATATGTACCTACCTACTCTAGAACTGATGAGTTTAGTGTTTCATCCTATGGAAAACTTATCTTTTTTTCATTTTGATGAAATAAACCAATACTCATTACTTTTAATGGACTTACATAGTTTGGAAACATCATGTTTCTAATACATAAATAAATCATCTACCTTGTAGGAGAACATAGTGCCTGAAAGATGAGAATATCCAGCTGGGGTCCCATAGTAATATAATCTCTTGTCCATTCGAAATATGCAAGACTGATGTGGATCAGAAACTGAGAGCAGACAAAAGGTTCAAATCATGAATCAAGCATCAGAACCGAGAGACCTGGTATGCTCTCAAGAAAACACCTAATTACCTAATACTACTACTCTACATCATTTTTATTTATTTTAGTATAATGAAGAAAGTGTCCTGGGAGATAAAGAAATAGAAGAGAAAATTGGTGAAAACAAGGTGAAAATTTACAAGATTATAAGTACTTTTACAAATTACAGTTTGTTGTGATTTATTTTTATCATTTATAAATGTAAGACAAATAAAGTAAGTATATCAAAATAATTGTAATATTCATTAAATGAAAAATACATTGTATTATTCCACTATATTACAAAAGATCTACATGAGTCATGAAAAAAATCTTCATAGAACATTATAGTTATTCAGTGATCTGATTGAAACAATAATAAACAATGATTGAATGATATATTTATCATGAATAGGTACATATTTTTTTATAGAACATGTTGAATCAGAATTCACAAAACCATGCTGATTCTGGTGTACCTAAAATATCTACACATTCAAAATAGAACCCTTTATCACTGTCACAACTAGTCATAGGGGTTCCATCATCAGCACTTGAACACTTACACCAATAGTTCACTTCTGGTGAAATTAATATCCACTCAAAAGTCCAGGTATTATAACTTCAGCATGAAACTTCAAAGCAATTTGTGAATGTTGTTTCTTGGACATTGAAGATATAGTAGGGATTTTGTATTGAACCAGTCAGAGCAACTGTACCTATGGCCATTTCTGCTATTGGTATGATGGGCACAATCATGGTGAGAGTGGTGGCATGGGCCACAAAGCACATACATCAGTACATGAAACTGTTCCTTATTTACTTGCCCAAGCCTCAGTTACTTATTAGCACAGAATCTGATTGTGAATATTTTACCTATAAAAAAATTGCATGAGGTATACATATGAATATGAGGTAGGAAATATATTCAAAAATATATGAATAACATAATTTCATCATTCAAAATGTTCCTATCATGAAAGTTATTTAGGTATAGAAGTAAAAAGTTACCTTTCCAACTATGACATGAAAATCATCCATCTTCCTGTCTACTTCCTGGACAAAAGTTGCTGAGAAATACTTGTGAACAATGAGGGTTTTGAATGCTCTCATTTGCTCATGAGGGTAGAAACTGTAGGTCACTATAAATAGTAGGAGAGTATAATTATGTGGTAGTCTAATCAGTCAGCAGTTTCAGATGTGAAGGGCTTCAAATCCTTGATCAACATCAGCTTCATCAGATATCTACAAACAAATAATGGTTGTATGATAGTTTCAGGAATGAAAATTTACTGGTTAGTTGAGAAAAATAGCCGAAAAAACAATAAATATTCATGTTTACCTCTGACCAACCTCTGGGTTTTCCTGCAATAACTTCTGGAAATATGAGCTCAGCATATTGAAGCACTGTTCAATTCAGCTCTGAGACTCCCTCAAACACCTGACACATGAAACTACCAGAATAATAGGGTGATTCGGGCAAAATACAATTTAATTACAAGTGATGTATAATCTTTGTTTGCCAACCAGACACCATCTTGTCAGCTAAAATGTCACGTGGTTTGGATTGCCTAATAAGAAGAATTATAACCTTTGCCTGCACACTTTTTTCACATAACCTCAAAATTTTGGTGAAAAATCCAAATAACCAAGTTTTTGGTTTTTTATTTTTTTCACGAAATTTTGTGAAACCTTTCCTATCGATGCCCCAAACACACTGTAATTTTTTAGATTCGAAATATCCACTTTTCACTTCACGTAATAAAAAACATCTCAATTTTCAATCAAAAATTCTTATGTCAAAATATCTGCTATTTCAATAAAGTCGGTGGGCCTTTTGTTCGTTGAAATCTCTATTTTCTGATGGTGTGAAATATATATCACAAGGGTGAATGTTTGCAGAAAATGCAAAGAAACGATACTCGAATCCGATTTTTTTTTTTTCAATTACTATGGACAATTTTGAGCAATTTATTAAAATCAACACTAATAACTCGAAAATCGTAAGATTCTATGTTGAATTGATAAACAAAGAAATTTCAAATCTATGAAACATCAAGATTGCTAAAAAAATGTGAAAATAGTTGTTTTAAATAATGAAGATAGGATTTGAAGCTGCTGCTTTTTCGTTTCTTTGCATTTTCTGAGAAGATTTACCACAGTAATGTATATATTTTTTCACACCATCAAAAAGCAGTGATATAGACGAACAGAAAGTCTATCGTATTTTTTGAAAAAGTAGATATTTCGATGCTAGAATTTTCGATAGAATATTAGGGTTCTTTTTCGATATTAAATCAAAATAAGGTGAAAAAAAGGAATATTTCGAATCAAAAAAATAACAGTGTGTTTGGGACATCAAGAGATAAGTTTCCATCAAATTTCGTGAAAAAATCTTTCTTTGTAAAAGATAAAACTAAGAAACAAAAAACTTGCTTATTCGAATTTAGAGAGTATTCACAAAAATTCGATATCCCAACAGATTACGAGTAGGGAGCCTTCGTAAACACACAGCAAACTCGCAAAAAAAAATAACCTCTTCGAGGGTGACACTCACCTTGATGTTGAATTGAAGAGAAAAGCAGAAGCTACGTATGCTACGAGGCTTTTTTTCTGCAGTTCATTCATGAAATGCGCAGCTGAAACAAAATATATCTGGTAAGGTAAGTACCTAATCGTGATAAATTCATCATTATAATATGAAGTATTTAAAAATCTGATCTCGCGCTAATTCACTCTGTCAGAAATCATGTATCATTCATCTCTGTCTGGAATAGTCTTGTTTCAGTATTAGGGTTTTGACGTCACATCATCGCCTCGTTTTCAGAGGTCCGAAAAATCGGGGATTTCAATAATTTTTTATAAGACGTAGGGAGCTCACAGCAAGAAACGGTTTGCGGTGGTGAGCTAATTTGGGTGAGTTCTATCGAATTATGAATTGAAATTTTTTTGTGATATAAGCCCATTACCAAATATAATTTTCGAAAAAGATTTGTCTGTTTCTTTCAACGGAGATTCTCAAAATGTCCTCCTCAAATTTCTATACATTTTCCGTATATCTTCGAAAGATCTCACATGGTTTTTCGAATAATTTGCCTATTATTTCTGGTCATATGTGAGGCTGTAACAATCCTCTCTCTCAGTTCCTCTCTGGTGTTGACATCAGTCTGATAGCCCAATTGTTTCATATGTCTCCATAGATAATATAGTCTAATATTGTGAGATTGTTTTGAGTAATGTCAAGGTGCATCATCCTATTAAGATATAATACCTATTTCAATCCATTTTCATACATCCTTGCATCTTTTGATATGTTTTCTGAATAATGAAAACATGCCAAACATACAATAATTTGATTCGGTGATTGAGAGAGTTCAATATTACCTCAAAATTTTTAATTTGTATGAGTTAGCACGTATATCTGATTTTGATATTATCAAAATCCCTGTTACTTTAAATGGTCTTTCATTCATTCGTACGTTAATTTTTCCGTGCATTCATTTGTTCGTTCATTCGTTCGTTCGTTCTTATTATTGTTCCTACCGAGTAGGCTAGTTTTGGTTTTGATTTTGACAGTGTATTTGGCGACTTCCGAAGATTTCTCCAGATATTCTCCCTGGCATAGGATTTCCAGACATTTGGAGCCTTCTTCGAAGCAATCCACAACTATGGTGTTGTTGAGTGGTTCGGTGAGAACTGATTGGACGTCGTATTTTTTTTCGTAGATTCTCGTTTCGTTCGAGGGATAACACTGGACTCGAGAGCCATGTCGGTCTACCTAGAAATAATAGATTCGTTTCATTTCTCTAAATGTTTGGAATTTTCTCTAATCGGTTAAATAAAAAATAAAATGATGATGAAGTTTGAACAGTATCTTCCGAATGTTTTTGAACGAATTTTGAAGTTGTACATGAAAATTCGATTAGTTCGATCGATAGAATGTGTTGAAAATTCACCTGTGCTTCAATAAATTCGAAAACATCTTTCCCTTCAAACTGGGCCATGGGTAGTAATAGATAAACTCTCAATTTGACAGGTGACGGACCTGAATTACCTACAGTGAAGATGTGGGAAAATTCATGAGCATCTTCTACACTTTCATCGTCATAGTAAATATTTTCCGGATCAGGTTTCCTGGAAAAAAAATCAACTAAGCAATTCTACTTCAAATCAAATGAGCGAATATATAAAATGCATCAAATTGGGTATTTTTCAAATCAATCGAAATAGCAAAAGTAATCAAGTGAGCAAAACTTCTGGTATTGAGTAATATGAACCATCCTCTGTATGTCTATCGGCATGCTATCAATGCATACTAATCACCTTAGTGCACTTATACAGGGTGTTTCAGTTTTTTGTAGCAGGACTTGAACAGCTTGAAGAAGACATTTTTTTGAGATGAAAATCTCATACGAACATATATGCGTGGAAGCTTCGTTTCCGATTTACAGGGTGTCAAAGTTTCAGATTTTTTTTATGTTTTTTGAATTTTTTCCTACAATTTTCGGAATAATTGATTGAAATTTGGTACACATAATACACTTCAAAAACTCAATATTTGAGGCTATTGAGCGTTTTTGAATACCTACAGGGTGATAGACTTTCAGGGGTCGTACCCAATTTCACCCTGTAGAACTTTTTTGCGTACCGTCCCTGCTTTCAATGGAATATAGATTCAGATTGTCCTTTCAATTTGAAAACTTTTTGCCCCTATGTAAATTTTTCGAAAACTGTATGGATCTCGAGATAAATGCAAAAAATAAATTACTTGTAATAAAACAGTTATTTCTCAAACACACTTATTTGACATTTCTCAAACATTTTATTGGAAAATAGAATGACCGAAAGCTTCCATACCAAATGAAATTCAGTTGCAAAATAAGGTTGAATTTTTTGAACACCATTATAATTAAAATTAGGACAAACAAAGAAAAAATGTTTTTATTTCAAAAAAACTTCTCTAACTGGATTGCAAAATCTGAGATTGTATTGTAGAAAATTCTAGGACACCCTGTATAACTGAAACTGATTAAACTTTCGATATCAGGGACTGTATGGTATGACACACGGTCTAGGCGCTATACATCGCTAGAAGTCGGTTGAGGTGTAATGGTGTAATTTAATCTCGTGAACGGCAGTTCTAATTTTATCAGTACCCTTAGAAGTGGTTCTCATCTCGAAATCCATACAGTTTTCGAAAAACATACATGGGGGCAAAAAGTTTCCAAATTGCAGAGACAAACTGAATCTATGTCCCATTGAAAGCAGAGGCGGCACGCAAAAAAGTTCTACAGGGTTAAATTGGGTACGACCCCTGAAAGTCTATCACCCTGTAGGTATTCAAAAACGCTCGATAGCCTCAAATATTGAGTTTTTGAAGTGTATCAGGTGTACCAAATTTCAATCAATTATTCCGAAAATTGTAGGAGAAAATTCAAAAAACATAAAAAAAATCTGAAACTTTGACACCCTGTAAATTGGAAACGAAGCTCCCACGCATATATGTTTGTTTGAGATTTTCATCTTGAAAAAATGTCTACTTCAAGCTGTTAAAGTCCTGCTACAAAAAACTGAAACACCCTGTATAATCTAAGAACCACATTTATATTAACAATCTTGAAATAATTGAGATTCTCGTATTAGTCATTGAAATTTGATCACCCTGCATAGAGAAAAGTCACTCAGTAACTAAGAAAACATAAATCGAGTATGCAGTAGCTACTTGCCCTTCAATATATGGTGAATTTTGAACGATAACTCCTATACTGAGTGTTTGTTTAGTTGGCGTCAAATTTTCACCCAAACACTTCAAATCAAAATCCACTTCAATTTCATCTACAGTCGGTTTCACAGATGACACATCAAAGACTAATTTAGCCTGGAAGTGATAAAATGATATTTGCGAAAAATGACACAGCTTCTATATCTTTCACCTGTGTATCTTCGATTGCTAGGTTTCTAGAAAACGGACACGAGAAAGTGTAATTCTCTGATTTGCAATCCCTTCTCGTCAGTTTCAAATTTTCGGGTATGCTCATCACCAAGTTACACTGGTAACCTGGTTCTCCAGTATTTTTTGCAGTTACCTCCACTACTATTTCTCTGTTCAAACCAAGAACGATATTTGGTCTGAAAAAAAAATCATGCGAAACTTATAAGTTATGAAATGTTGAATAAATACAAAAAGCTCAGTCATATCCACATAATGATCATAAACTGCACAACAATGGTAGATTTCGGGAGAAAAACAACTACTTTCCTGGTTAATGCCACACGCAGAACATTGAATTATATCCTCCCGAAATCTATGCATCGACTCGCATAAACGAATACTGATACAAGTGATTCTTTCCTGAATGCCTATTGATTTCGATTTAGCCAGGCCACGCTAGACACCTAGTCAGCGGTCTTATATTGGGTTTCTTCATGAACTTATTTATGAAACGAATAATAATAATCACTGACAAAATGATCAAATTTCCATAACCAATAATATATCTTTAATCCAGAATGTGAGGCACTTTTGGGTTTTCACTGGGGTTTTCATCAGCCATCATAATCAATCACTGGCTGTTATTCCATTTTATATGAGAATTGAAGTTTGACCAGATTTTACTACCTCGGATTCTATCGATACCTACCAGATTCATCACTTCTAGGTATTTAAGAGGTCCAGGATAGATAAGTAATTTCTTTCTTGTTGTTTTCACAGAGGTTAGGAAAATCTCAAGGCATGTTTTATTCTCACTCATCCTCACTTATTCTTATTAACACTTTTAGTTTAGTTTAGTTCATCAAACACAGCAGGTGGAAACAAGAAAAACACTCGAAATAGTTATAAAATACCGAAAATACCTTAAGTGTAGTTTGTTTATGGTCTCCCAGTCTTCACTTATAATTATAACTCATAACCTCAAAGTAGTCGACCAATGGGAATTGGGCATGTGAGAAGGGGGAACGCTACAGCGCAGGAAATCGGTGGAAACAAGAAAAACACTCGGAATAGTAAGAAAATACCGAAAATGCTTTCAGTCTCAAAGTCTTCACTTTATACTTATAACCTCAAAGTGGTCACGGAGAAAAGCTACAGTGCGAGAGCGAAAAATAATAATCATCGCGGTGGGGGAACGCTACAGCGCGAGACCACGGGTACTGATCATCCCAACGAATATCATTAATTGGCGCAGAATCAAGTCTGCAGAGGATTTACGGCCGAGAGTCCTAGTAAAGTCATGTAGCTATTATATAAGCTTTTATATTGATATCAAATTTTCACATATCAGTTACATCATAGTTACGTAACATTTTTATATAATTATGGGGTTCACATATTTTAGAACTCTTATGGAATATTTACGTGAATATTTTATATAAAAAAGTTCCGTTGATGTTATATAACACTGATGTAAATTTAACAGATGTGTTTGCTGGGTAGGACTGCTGGCTGGAGACTGCCCTGCACTGATGAGAGTTAAAGAGCTCGAAATAGGTCTGTAGGTGTCTAGCGTGGCCTGGCTAAATCGAAATCAATAGGCATTCAGGAAAGAATCACTTGTATCAGTATTCGTTTATACAAGTCGATGCATAGATTTCGGGAGGAGGTAATTCAATGTTCTGTGTGGCATTTGCCAGGAAAGTAGTTGTTTTTCTCTCGTTTTCTACCATTATCGTTCATTTTATGAACTATATTGTGGTAATGACTTCGAGTTTCTCTCTCTTTGTGATTGTCGAATATTCTTGAAATTGAAATGATATTCAATTGAAATAGATTCTTCATAAGTTGTTTTTCTTTAACTAATTTATTAGAATTCAAATTACTCACGTTTTTGCAATCAAATCCATCGCTAACTTTGTCTGGCAAATATCGTCGACACCACATCCGTGAGAATACGGAATTTCCTTCTCAATATGATTTTCCCCTGTAGCCATGATATCACCCAAGACGTCACTAGACAAAGTTATCCTGAACGGTAAAATATCCACCACATTTGGCTACAAAAATAAATCGAAGAAAGTCCTACATGAAATATCATCGATGACTGACTTACCTGTATAAACACATCCAGTGATTTACACATTTCATTCTCAAGAAAAACAGTGATATTCTCTTTATAATCTCTGACTCCAACAGCTCTGTAGTCTAGTTGGAGAGCCAATTGAAAAATAACCGATTTCAAATTATTGGTTTTGCTTCTCTGTTGGTAGCTGATACAGTATCTCACCGACATTGACTTGTCAGTTATCGAAGAAACGTTTGGTCTCAAACTCATCGCGAAAGTGATCACACTCTTACTATTCAAAACAAAAACTTGACCGCTTATGTAGGCACCCACAGCAATATCTACAAAATAGTTATTCATTAGTCTCCCTTTTTTCAGATTCAAGAGTAACAGCTAAGCTCGTGTGGATAGAAGTGACTGTTTTTAGTCATTGTTGAAAGCAGCAAAGACATTTTACTTTTGCAGATCACAACACGACAACAACACCACACAGCAAAATCGAAATGAAAAGAAGGCAAAGAAAATCTACACTATTCTCAACTCGGTCCCCGATAAATACGAAATATTGAAGGCAATTGCTAATAGTGAGCTGATTTTCTTTCACGCAGAATCAAAATAAATAGGGTTTTTACTAGGTGGGCCAAAAGAAATCACCCTATTGGAAGTAGCTCTTATTTTTGCAAAAGCTGGTCAATGTCAAATCTGTTTTGACATTTGTGAACTAGACAGATGTAGAATACAATACAAGTGAACAAGCCGCGGAATAAATCCAAGCCAAGCCATCCTCAATCTCGTGGACGAAGTCATAATGAGCGACGAGGCTCATTTCCACCTCAGCGGGTACGTGGACAAGCAGAACTATCACTTCTGGGGCACCGAAAATCTACGAGTGATGCACATGTAGTCCAGTCATTATAGACTTTGACCCGTGAATAATTTTTTAGTGATTTTTCTTTTCATAGGTGTCTCGGGGGGGTCACTGGGAGTGTAAATTCAGAATGGCGACCAAATCAAGCTTTTGCGTATGTTCGAAAACTGGTTTTTTTGTTAAAAAACGGTTTTTCTTTAATAACTCGGCCATTTTTTAATCTACAGAAAAAGTTTGCGGACAAACATTGTAGTAAATTTGGTTCTCAACAAGTTTGGTCCTCACAATTTTTCTGATAGCAGTGATAGGATCGATATTTTGTGAATTAAACCTGAAAATAGCGACAAATTCGAAATATTTTCATTATCTCGTTTATTTTCAACTTTACGGCATAAATGAAGAGGACTAAACTTGTGGAGAATCAAATTCTAAACAATTTTGGTTACCACGTGTTTGTTCCAAAAATCGATATTTTGGGAATTAAACCTGAAAGAAGCGACAAATTCAAAAGATTATCATTATCTCCAATGCTTCGCATTTTACGGCATAAATGAAGAGGTTATTCCGCGCAGGTAGCTCTGTCATGTCGGTGTGAAAAAATGGTTCCGGAACTATTTTTTTTTTTTTGGGTTTCTTAGCTGATGGTCCTGCCAAATCCATATCCTCTCTCCCCAAAATTTGATTCTCTACAAGTTTGTTTCTTCTCATTTATGGTGTAAAGTTGAGAATAAACGAGATAATGAAAATATTTCGAATTTGTCGTTTTTTTTTTTAGGTTTAATTCCGAAAATATCGATTTTCGGAAGAACAGGTAGAGACAAAATTTGTCCAAAATTTGATTCTCTACAAGTTTGTTTCTGTTCATTTATGCCGTAAAGTTGAAAATAAACGAGATAATGAAAATATTTCGAATTTGTCGCTTTTTTCAGGTTTAAATTACAAAATATCGATCCTATCAGAAAAATTGTAAGGACCAAACTTGTAGAGAACCAAATTTACTACAATTTTTGTTCCCAAACTTTTTCTGTAGAATCAAAAATGGCCGAGTTATTCAAGAAAAACCGTTTTTTAACAAAAAAAAAACAGTTTTCGAACATACGCAAAAGCTTGATTTGGTCGCCATTTTGAATTTACACTCCCAGTGGCCCCCCCGAGACACCTATGAAAAAAAACCACTAAAAAATTATTCACCTCATATCTCTCGTTTTGGCGATTTGCACTGTCCCGCAAAATCTCCCGATTTAACCGTTCCAGACCTTTTTGGTGTTTTTTCTTTGAAGTTCTGTGTTTACGTGAACAAGCCCGAGACCCAAGAAGCCGTCAAGGACAACATTCGACACGAGCAGTGGCGCACACAAGGGGGGGGCACTGGGGCACGTGCCCCCCCCCCCCCAAAGAACTGCCCGCGAACACACACAACCATTGCCAAAGCGGAACCTACCAATTTTTCGGTATTCCTATCAACATGAAGATCAGCGTATACCGAAAATTATTCAGTAATTTACCAAATTATAGTAAAATACTTTCGGTTTCTAAGATTTTTTTTCACAATTGAGATTAGAAAAAAAATCCGCAAAGCGTGATATATTTTTATACAGTGTCATTCATAAAGTCGGCATCATATGGGAAAAACTGTTATTAATGCCTCATTTTTGATATCGAGTTGGACGTTAAGTTTTGCTTCAAAAAAGATGGAAAATGGCACACTCAATCAGGGTCACGTGACTTTCGCTACATGTCAAAAGTGACATTTTTTCAAATTAATCGCTGAAAGTAGGCTTATTGGTTCGAGTATCGAAAAAGTTCACTTGAAAAAGTTGTTTCTATTTCAATTTTACACATGCTTCTCGAATTTGATTTTTCTATTGCAACTTTTAGATTTTGATTTTTCTTTTAATTTTTCGAAATTTCTGTGATATTTGGAGAATTATTAATTCCACGAAACTACTTCATGCCAGTAGCTTTTTCATGCTTCTTACTCCCAATTACTTATTATCACTGATTATCGACAGAAATATGATTTTCTTCAGAAAATGATAATACCCGCTTCCAAATTCTGTTATGTTTGATGCAAAGTTGATATATCGTCAAGCATTTAGAAACAAAATTCATTTAAACTGATCTTTTCAGTACTGAGAAAATGAATTTGAATGAATTTCGTTTCTAAATGCTCGACTCAAACATAACAGAATTTTGATGTTATGTTTGCATCAAACATAACAGAATTTTGAAGCGGAGATTATCATTTTCTGAAGAAAATCATATTTTTGTCGATAATTAGTGATAATTAGTGATTGAAAGTTAGTAGCATGACGGTATGAAGTAGTTTTATCGAATTTACAATTTTTTTAATATTACAGAAATTTCGAAAATTTTTAAAAAATATCGACATCTAAAAACTGCAATAGAAAGATAAAATACGAGTCACATCAGTAAAATTTAAATAAAAACAACTTTCTCAAGTAAACTTTTCCGATATTCGAACAAATAAGCCTACTTTCAGCGATTTATTTGAAAAAATGTCACTTTTGACATGTAGCGAAAGTCACGTGACCCTGATTGAGTAGGCCGTTTTTCATCTTTTTTGAAGCAAAACTTAACGTGTAACTCAAATTTCAAAATGAGTCATTAATAAAAGTTTTTCCCATATGATGCCGACTTTATGAATGGCACTGTTATAACTCAAAATATTTTCAACATTGCCAGTATAAACAGCTACAGCAGAAAGAACATTTTCGACTTTACGAAGGCTTAAATCATATTTAAGAAATACTATGGGAGAAAATAGGCTGAATGGCCTTGCCAATTTGAATATCCATAGAGAGGTACATGTAGATACGAATGAGGTATTGAATATTTTGACAGAGAGAGGACCTATAGGAGGCTGTATTTTGTTTTGTAAATTCCCGTTTTATTACCTACCTAGTTTGTATAGTTGAAAAATAAAAAATGTTCGTTAAATTTTCGACAGTTTGCTTATTTACGCCTTTTTTATTAGGGTCAAAATGCAAGTCTTTTAGACACATTGTGCCCCTCCCAGGCCTGAGTCCTGGGTGCGCCAATGGACACGAGTGCGACAATCTGTTGCCCGAAGTTCTCGGCGAAGTAATGAAAAATGCATTGAAACGAGCCCCTATAGCAAACAATTGTGGCGGTGCCGATTTGGGCGATTTCATCTTCTCGACTTGGACAATAAAATTCTAAAGGTTGAAATAAACATAATCCAAAAACAAAATCGATGCTTTTCATTTAGAAAGAAATGAGAGCCAACAACATCGGATGACTTCTTTTGGCCCACCTATACTACCCGAATAACTATAATTACACCTTATTATTAAGGATAACGTTTGAACTTTCTATACTCACCATTATGTCCATTTCCATCTATATCATTGCCTTTAGATAATCCCAAGCCGAAGCCTTTCACACTATGATAGTTTCCATAGAAGTTGAGCGGAGATAATCTCTGACTGTAAGTTGTCTTGATGCCTTGCTTTTCTCCCATGTAGATATACACAGCCCCGGTGCCGTCATCCTCAAACGGGGCAGATATAGCAATATCTAAACATAATTTTTCGAGTTGAAAATATGCCCCGTCGCCATGACTTCCAAAAAAAAAGTACAGTGTGTGTCTAAATGATGCTGCCAAAATGATACTTCAGATGAAGCATCGAGAATGAATAAACTCTAATTTTTTTGTTCTGCGAGCTATTACATGCATTATGATATTTTTAAAATGAAACATCAAGTATTATTTCGCATATTTCGATTTGTCCTTATATTGTCTAGATAAGCGGCTTTGCTAAAAGTAAATCAGAATTATTTCGAAAAATTGTTGAACAATATGCCTGCTGATCTTCGTTTTGAAAATATTCATACAAAATTATGCATGAACTTCGACGATTCTACGACTATCGCTTCAATGCAATGAGAGTTATCTTACATGGTGATTTATAATAACTGGCAATGTTGATTTTTTCCAATACTCATAACTTCCTAATTCGAAATGGAACATCATAACTCATTTTAGATTCCAGAGTTTTGCTCATTCTCCACAAATTGCAGGAATTATTTTATCAAGCAACATGATATGGATTCACGAACTCTTGACAGATTGACCAAATCATCAGATGTTCAGCTATTATTTGATTGTAGTTATTATGGGTAAAATAATATTTTTCCGTCGACCTCGTATTAACGACTAAGTTTAATGTATATGAAATCGTTCATTAATGACCCCTATTAATGAACGATTTGTCTATTAATGCACGATTGTTTTATAGGCAACCAAACATACACCGCCTGCATTCATTGTTTATGCTATAACCTTACGGAATATGCTTTTAAATCGAAAATATGGATTTCATCGGAGATTTTCCGTTAACGGGTTCGCCTTTCCAAGTTTCTGACACGATTTTAATCCCTATTTTTAACACAAGAAATTAATTTTCTATGTTGATCATTTCGACAAATGTCAAATGTCACTGATGTCAGTAACAAGGCTACCTCAACACCACTCAAAAGTTTCGTCAAAAAAAGTAACCAGGCGATTTCTTCATCAGTAATCATTCACGTGGCGTGACTGTATCAAAATGTAGAATAGTACATAAAATAATATTCCCAGTATGAAATTATGCCTCTGTGCCAATTTTGATAACAATTGATGAATATACAGCGAAATTATTGGCAAAAAACGAAAATAAAAAGTCAACTTCAACGCCCTGTATCTTTTTCCATCGCAATATTCTAATAAAGCATATTTAGACCTATCGCTATATTTTGGTCCAAACAATCTGCCCTTATAGCCTATGTCCCAATAGTTATGACTCACCCTGTATACCTACTATATCCATTTTTTTGTGTTCATAAATATATCTGGGAATGTTCCTTTTCAATAACATTCTAATGGGCGTGTACACCTTAGTAGAACTTTTAACTCAAACCATGTTTATAATGATCCTTTTATACATAATTAATGATTGACGACATAATTCGATCGAAAAATTAACTGGGAATATTTTATTTTTGGGCATAAATAATAGTATCTTCTGAAAACGGGCCCTCTCATGACGTAGAAACCTCATCTCGCCATAGTTAAATAAAATATCAAACGCCCGACGGAGACTGAGGCAACTGATATATTAATTCTTTCAACTGTGATCTCGCGCTAATTCACTCTGTCAGAAATCATGTATCATTCATCTCTGTCTGAAATAGTCTTGTCTCAGTATTAGGGTTTTGACGTCACATCATCGCCTCGTTTTCAGAGGTCCGAAAAATCGGGGATTTCAATAATTTTTCATAAAACGTAGGGAGCTCACAGCAAGAAACGGTTTGCAGTGGTGAGCTAGTTTGGGTGAGTTCTATCGAATTATGAAATAATTTTTTTTTGTGATATGAGCCCATTCTAATGATAATCAATTTACTGAGATGAGTAAATTCTTTCTGATCTACTCACCATTGTAATTATCGAGATCAATATCTCCCAAAGCAGAAATGCTGGTACCGAACCTAGCACCTGGTTTCCTAGAACCGAACAGTTTTACCTTTGTTAGCAAAGCCTAAAAATAACAGAGTGAGAACCAATGAAATTTCTTTCATGGCTGTTCCTACGTTTTTGTAGAAGTAAACGTAACCCTCATCGAAAGTTGAGCCTGCGCCCATGGGCACCCCTACGAATAAATCATCGATACCATCATTGGTGACGTCAGAACACAAAAGGGACGATCCGAAATATCCACCTGTTTCATCGCCATTGAATTGTTGGAATAATTGGAAACCATTGAACATTTTCACCTGAAGTCAACTTGATTAACATGACTCTTGGTTGGGACACCATGTATACTCACCACTCCCAGGAGATTTTCAGCCCTAGGTGCCCCAGCAACCTCATACCTAGTGTTACCCATTTTTGCAATCGTGACTGCATAACCTAAAAAAAATTATCTGTGAGAGATTTCAAAAGTTTATTTTTCTATGTGTACTTACCTAAATAGTCGAAATTTGCTTTGGCAGAAGGAAAAAGTCTGTGGGGTATTATTTTGAAATCTCCGAAACTCGAAAGCGACTGAGATACCATAGCGCCTAGAAAAAATATGAAAATTTAGTAATCCAATGATATTGATTTTACGTTGTCAACATTTATGTACCGGGTGACCAGTTATATTCTGACCCATTTCAAATGCTTATATCTCTGAAACCATTCAAGTTATCGTTGTGCAGTTTGGACTAGTCTATTTTAATATTTTTCAAGTTTTTTTGACAGGTTCACCTTCTCTCTTGAACTTCCGGTTCTACCGGAAACAAACTAGCCATTATTTAGGTATAGGGCAACTTTTTTATTTCATCGAAGCACCCTGTATATTTTTGCACATTCAGATAGACTGGTCTTTTCTCTTCCTAACAATGTATAACAAGTTATGTTTTCTTAGAAAACTATCAGAGTTATAAATCTTTGAAGCATCTACTGCATATTAGAATGTTATCCTGAAATGCTGAATTACCGTATATTGAGTATAAATCTGATGCAGATTTATGATGAGTTCATTTGCTTTTTCAGTCAAAGTAAACATTTTTTCAACTCGAAGAAAGTACAAATGCTCGACAATCTTTATTTGACACATCTAATCTGGCATTTCATGTGTTGTGATCATGATCAGGATTTCCAAAGACGACTTTGGTTACATTGCAAAATCTCATTAAACCATTCCACATGCAGTAATTGTTTCAAACAGTTATAACTCTGATAGTTTTCTAAGAAAACATAACTTGTTATACATTGTTAGAAAGAGAAAATACCAGTCTTTCTGAATGTGCAAAAATATACAGGGTGATTCGATGAAATAAAAAAGTTGCCCTATACCTGAATAATGGCTAGTTTGTTTCCGGTAGAACCGGATGTTCAAGAGAGAAGGTGAACCTGTCAAAAAAAAACTTGAATAATATCAAAATAGACTAAACTGCACAACGATAACTTGAATGGTTTCAGAGATATAAGCATTTGAAATGGGTCAGAATATAACTGGTCACCCGGTATCACATAAAAGTTATTGTACCTAGTATTTCATCACGACCTATATTATATGCTGGAGCCGTAGAAAAAGTATAGTGAATAACTCTAATGGAAATATGCAGCGTCCGACTATACGGCTAATAAAAAATTGCGGTTCTCTTACCATTCCAGTTCTTGATACCGGGTGCTCCCATCAAAACTCTACCAGTTCCCTGAAGGAAAAATGCGAACATCAAAAAAATGTCAATTTCAGGATGGCGTGATGTTAGAGGCGGATGCCGGGACTAGCGCAGTAATCTCAGCCGAAGACATAGTTTCGTACGATTCACTGTTGCGTTCAAATCAACAGTGCTTCGCGAAGGAAGAGCATGAAGTCGAGTAACAAAGCCTACACAGAACACATATGGAATGAAGGGCATCTCGTAAGGGCGATGGCAATTTCGAATATTTCTTTTACGAACATTGAGTATATTTAATAATGTATATTTGATTCAAAATCATCCAAGTTATTGGTGGAAATCAGCATAATTATATAAATTATTATTCAGGGTGTATCCGAGATTGCGGGATGATAAATGAAGGTGAATGAATGAACGCTCGTATATAATATGGTTCAAAACAAAATGTAACTTTTTTATGGGCAACCCTGTGCAAATGGAGAATATTTCTACTCACTGGGATATACTCGATGTCCAATCCAGCTTGGCCAAAAGCATTATCATAATAATACTGTCCTTGGGCGTTACCAACAGCAACTGAAAATAAAATGCGAGCCAGCGTTAACTATTTTTTTTTTTTCAGAAATGATGTCCCTCGTATATACTTACCCACTCGATCTTGGTCCAACGGATAGAATTCAATATCGGCATCAAGTCTGGAGGAATTTTTATGAAGAAAACAGAATCCTTTCAGGTAATAGTTCTTATTTTCGAACGTGCCGACAATGAACACTTTTTTAGGTGCACACGCCTGATTAAAAAAAGAGTTAGATGAACAGCAAAAAACAGCATCACTTCAAATGAATTTGACTATAGACTACTCACAATGAACGATTCTCCTGTATTTGCATCTCCATCTAAAGCAGATCCCAAAAAGTTACCATTGAAATCACCTATGTTACCTAAAAACATAGTATTTTTTATACAATGAATTCAAACAGATGCTCACTGCCTACTGGTCTCCATATAATATTTGGAACAGTTTCCATTGTGATATTTCGAGATTTCACAAGAATATAGTGCACCACCATTTTTTGAATCTTGCTTGGGTGATCCAACTATAACACTGAAATAAAAAAGAATGATTTCATTCATTGATTTCAACACCAAATTATCTCTTAAAACTTTTGAGAAACATTTTTCAGCATAATATTTTTTTTCCGTTTCAAACAGGGTGTTTCGTAATATGTGAGACGCACAAGGGTGATAGAACGTCTCGAAAAAATTATAAGAGTTCCTATGAAGATATGTGTCCAAAACTCTTTTGTTTCGGAGTTACAGAGTGTTGAAATTTCAAGATTTTTTAGTTATTTCCTTAGACCCTACTCGCTAAAAACCGAAAATTTTATAGGTAGTTAGAAGATATGAATATTGTTTCAATATTTTCAACTTTCTATAACTCGCAACCAATAGATTTGGATAATAGTTATTTATTATACAAGGGGAGAAAGTAGTAGATTTTAGCTCCAGGTTGTGAGACAAACCGTGAGCTAAAATCTAATATTTTTCCGTGTATAACACACCATTTTTTTCTGTGACAGGTAAATGGGCGAATCGTTATTGAGAAGATATTACATGATATTAAAATCAGAAAATTATCGACGTGAAATTTGCGAATTTAGTGGTAGTAATTTACGTAACCGCGAAGTCGAATGGAAGATGAAAGGACTTGCAGTTCTTCCTCGGAGTATATAAGCCTGTTTGTTTATGACTGCTCTACCTGCTGAACTTGATTTTTTTCTATGACTCTCTCTGTTTACATCAAGGGACAATATGGAAAAAATCAACTTTGGCAAATTCAGCAATACAAACGAACAGGCCTAATATGTGATATATATCCGGGAAGAAAGTACTCACTTTTTACCCGTGCGTAAAAAAATGAAAACAATTTTCATGCATTTGTGGCATAACGAAATGAATTTGAACAATAGTAGGTTATGCCCTATTTTGTATTTGGAATAATGACATTTGATCGATTACGTTGCGGTTGAGATCTTACTTTGACAATTATTCATGAACGTGACAGAGAGTTTTTAACATTGTGAAAGAAAGAGATTTAGGGAATATGTTCATATAAACTTTTCTTCTTAAAATAAGCTAAAAGAAACATGTCCAATATTTTCAGCCATCAATTAATTTAGTGGATTTTTCTGAGATGGCTGATTTTAATGAAAAAATGATATTGACATTCATTTCTTAGGATGCATTTTTGGGAATACATTTTCACCTTATAAAAAAAGTACACAAAAGAGATTGAATACCAATCAGCCTTATTAATGTTTAGATTTACTCTGGAGCAGATTTGTTCAACACTTCCGACTTACATAGGATGAGATCCTTTCTGTAACAGCAGCGAGTATCCAAAATACGAATCATTCACCATGTTATCACCCAGATTTATTTCTATTACTTTATTTTCTATAAATATCACACTGCAAGCACCAGAAAACCAGAATGAAAGTGCCAATACCACATAATAAATATTTTGTATGACAATAAACACTGATGAAACACCCAACATATTTTTTTGTTTAGACTAAGAAAGGTCTTATGTGGACGGTCTTAGTTTTAAGTTCGAATAAAGTGGGCTTCATCAGACACTGAAACAGGGAATAGGTGGGGGAGACAGCTTATTGTTATGTCCGAGTTAATCGCTGGATTCACAGGAAATTGATAAGACAAACTACTCTTCCATCTTTTTTTATATGTGGATTCACACAGGAAAACCCGGTACTCTTATCAGTGTATTTGTTGCGTCATCCTGATGATCTGTATACTTATATAGGAATAAGGTATACTCAGTATTGTTCGAAATATGAAATCATATCCGCTATATAAACTCATAATACCTACCTATTCATTTCACAGATGGATGATACGGACGCAAAAGATAATCAAAATACAATAACAAAATTACCTATGTATTTTCTTCTAAAGTAAAAGTTTTTTTCAAATTGAAAATATGCACAAGTTTGAATAACAAACTAGAAAATTTCTCAAAATGGCGCCATCTCTGTTAATACATTGGCACTAATAAACAGTCCTGGAAAAAAGCGACCACTGAAAAAAATTCTTTAGGTACATTCTTTCCTTCTCTATGGAGCTGAAATTAGAAATTACAGATTAATGGAGCAATGATTTTAATTTCTCCAGATTTTTTGGGATTCTTTCTCCTCGTCACTGAGAAGTGTCAAAACTACGCCTAATGCCTGAGAAATTTTCGAGAAAAATATTATCCATTTTTATGTTGAAAACGGGAGCAGATTCGTTCCCAAAACGTCCAAAGATATAAGAAAATTTGATATTTTTTCTATATACCTATTTTTCTCTTGTCCAAATCTTTTTTCGATACAGTGTCACTGACAATAAGCGAATGCATTTTTATTTGAGGCTCTCTGATAGAACATTTTTTTAAACGCAGTGACATTTTGGGGCAAACCTCCTCACTAAACGTGTGATGTGTATTGAAATAATAATCAATTCATATTGTATAGACATAACGAGGAGAAAATCACAAAATAAATATCTTAGAATTTTAGTAGCCGTTTTCTCTTTGTAGGGCAGTGTATAATAGACCCGCTTGAACTTGCGCTTCAACCACCGCTTGAACAAGCTTCCGGATAGCCCTGGTAAATATATGACTATTGACTATGACCTATGAGTCCTATGACTATGACAGTTGAAGCCTTTAAAAAAGGCAGAAATATAAAAAGTATGGTTAGGGTTGATGAAAAATTTGAAAAAATAGCTTTTTTATATCATTAATATTTCAATATCAGTATGAACATAACTGTGGAATTTGGGTAATATCAATGTTCAAAAAAATTTTGATTTATTTCATTATGAGTTTGTTTCTCTTTATAGAGGAGGTGCCGAGCTATTATTCGGAAACAAAAAATCTCATGACGTGAATCTTCCAAAGAAAGACAAAGAATGTAAGTTCATAGTTCATAGCAAGAGTCTCTCTAATACTGATTATGGCAGGTTCGCAAATACAAATTGAAGGGGCAGTTTAGTTTGCGGACTCCTATTTATTAACAATTGGGATCCATACCTGTAGTTATAGCTGGTGAAAGTGGTGAAAGTACCTGGTACACACTCCACATACCTATGGGTTACATTCCTGTCTCAAACATTAGTTAACAATTTTCATACAGAAGTACCTGCAACCTGTATTAATTAGTAATAAAGTTTTGCAATTTGCCCACTGAGAGACTCTTCCAATTTCATAAAAAATTACTTTTCTTATGGTTGATCAATCAGTAATATGCCTCCAAACAAATAAACTTATTCAATGTTCTTTTCAGGGATTTTAGGTGACCTATTGTTATGGCTGAAAGACAATTTGTTAACAGACAGACCTGAATTATTTTTACAAGATCAATCTGTGTAAGTAAATTAATAGTAGATATAGTTGAGCCATCAGCAATTCTACCAGAATATCTACCTCAAACATTATTTTCCCATTGCAGGAGGCCAGGCATTTTGGTACTAGTCAATGACACAGACTGGGAACTTGTGGTAAATCATACTCATTTTGATAAATATGATTAACACTAATATATCAATGCTTTTTTAGGGTAGAATAAATTATATACTGGAACCAAATGACACAGTAGTTTTTATATCTACATTGCATGGTGGATGAGATATAATTATTATTATTACATGAGTGTGTTTCTTTATTTATGAATTATTATCATTTTTGTACTGTAATAAAAATTCCAGTTTTTCTCATTGTCTATGTTTCATCATTTAGTAAGTTAGAAATTCGAGTATATTTATTCCTTATTTGTTTGATATATTATTATGTGTTTCATTCACATTTAATGAAAATTAAATTCAGAAATAAGAAATCCCTTGCTCAATGTTTGAATAAGTAGTTTATTAGGTATATGAATCACCTTTCCACACAACATTGGTAAATCACTTTTCTTCATTGGTTTCAGTTTCTGTGTCCACTTTGCTGTCAACAGAATTGCTTAATTCCTGATCATTTCCACAAATAGATAATAAATTATACTTCTTATACTTGATGAAATCAGGCACAACTCCAATCAAAACAATTCCTTTTATAACTTCTATTATAATGGATAATTCAGCACCTTTCAGATCCACTTTACTCTCACCATTTGTTTCAAATATAAGGTCAGCTACCAACTTAATCACCTCATCTCTATTGAAACTATTGTTATTTCTGTGATTGAAAATTACTGAAAAAGTTTTTTTGGCATCTTTGAAATATCTTTCAGCTATGGGCACCATTGCAGTTTTAATGTCATTCAAATAAGCCTTGCAAGTAATTTCAATTGGTACAAGGCGAATTAGAAAACGAGTTTGTTGGTTTTTAGAAGATTCTAGATCTTGAACTATGGTGTGTGCTAGTTTCACAGGATCTTCTATGGTTGTTCTGATGAAAAGAATATTCTTAGCACCTGATTCTACTACCTGGAATCTGTTTTTGTCTCTCTTTGTAGCTTTAAGCTCTGATAACTCTTTCTCCAACTCATCTTCAATACTAGTTTCTTCCATAGTCTCTTCACTACAAGATTCTTTTGTATCTTGCTGAGGATAAAGTAAATCCGCATATTTGTTCAGCAAATTGTAAGCTTCTTTGATGCAATCTTTTTCTCTGTTGTTACAGCTGCATAAAAAACCTTTATAATTTGGTTCCACTGTTGATCTCTTGAACGATTTTTTGTTGAAAAATTTGTTGTATTTCGGCTTTTGTATTTTACTCATTGTCACACTACTTGCCAAAATCGAAATTATTATTTTATGAGTTACGACCACTATGCGCACTGTCTACCACCACAGACTGTGCTACCACGTACTAGGACAGAAAATATATTTTTTTTATTTTTAAAATTTCTGAACTGAACCTAACCTCATTGAGTCTTCTTGTCTTCTTTACGGTTTGGATGGCTTTGGTTATCAGGATATCAGGACTATCTGGCCATACCTCATTCAATGAATATGAGTTCTTTGCTTATCTAAGGTTCTTTGACTTTGGCTGGAAATGGAAGACAAAGAACTAAGAAGAAGAAGAAGATAATCAAGAGGAAATGATGGGATAGCATTGATTTGATTTTCTTGGTTTTTCCTCTGGTTTTGTGGTTTAATTTTCCTGAATTACTTTTTTTTGTAGCGTTAAAGCTAGGGAAGAATCTCGATGAATTCCTGGTGATATATCTGTTCAATAAACTTATTTCAACAATGGATGATGAATATGATGATAGGCCTTGGGACAGTGGGGACCGAAACGATAATGATGTAGGTGTACCGTATTTATGCACATTTGATGCCTATTTTCTGTCATTTTTTTTAGTCTGAGGCTGGAGATGAACCCGAAAATCCAGAACAAGTGTTGGCGGAATGTGCTGAAAAGTTCTCAACAAATGACTACATCATGGAGCCAGGAATTTTCTCACAGCTGAAGCGTTACTTTCAGTCTGGAGGCAATCCCTTGCAAGTCATTGAAGAGCTTTCACAAAACTATACAGCTGTTGCCCAAATGGCCAACCTGATAGCAGAATGGCTCATAATTGGTGGTAGGAACCTATCTCAATAATCAACAGTCAAAGAAACTCAATCTTATTTGTCTACCTCCTTCCTCCTTCAACATCTTCCATGATATAATAATCACCAATTCTACTTTGGTCTGGATCTCACTATTTAAAATTGTATTTTTTAAAGAAAACCAGTTGTTTTTCTTGTACTTGTTACTAGGTGTAAAAGTAACTGATGTCCAAGCAATGGTAGAAAATCACTTGAAGGAAATGATTCTGAAAACATTTGATCCAAAAAAGGCAGATACTATTTTCACTGAAGAGGGAGAAACACCAGCTTGGTTGACACAGCTCATAGAACATCCCACATGGAGATCATTGATTTATAGGTTAGCAGAAGAGTACCCTGACTGTTTGATGTTGAATTTTACTATAAAGGTTCTAAAAAACTGCTGCACAATGTTCAACACCATCTGACCAGAATTTTTCAGTTGATTTCTGATGCTGGTTTTCAAGGAGAAATCACAAGTATATCAACTGCTGCTCAACAATTGGAAGTGTTTTCTAGGGTACTTAAAACATCTATATCGAGTTTCTTGGTCAACCCTGAAGAGTGGCAGACAACAAGTAGAGAATGTGCAGTAAGTCACAGAATATCCTTCTGATTATTTGTATATGAATTATTTGCAGAAAATGGTGTGTCATGGACAACACACTTATGTCTACAGTCAGCTAGTTATTCACATATTGGCTAGGGAATCAAAAGGTGGTAGTAGCATGAAAAGGCTGTCACAAGAAATTACCAAATGTGCACAGAAAAAGTGAGTTACCATTGCATAACAGGAATTTTGTCTATGTTCAATCAATTTCACATAATATTTACTATTCACTCAACTCTTCTACTAATTATTTGAATATTCAAAAAGTAGTTGATGTACTTGTTTAGTCTTTTCTATATGTTTGAAGGTTACTAAAAAATAACTGACACTACAGAAATGATTTTCTTCAAATTAATTCTAGTAATGCTTCCTTTACCTTTTAAAATAAAATATTTTGACATATTGAGAGAGCTCTAAACCTGCATTTTTCTAAAGGTTGTGGTATTTCAATTGATTTCAAGATTTATTTCTTTGATGGAACCAACATTTTCTCATGGTATTTGAAATATAGGACACTATTGATATATTTATGATCCCAGAGAGTGACACCCCATCTAGAATTTGTGCTAATCATTTTTCATCAAAAATCTGTTTCCACTCCTGAATTTGGTGTCCCTTTAGATTGGCAGCTACTGAGATGTTTTTAATTAATATGGTGTTTGCACTGATGTGCCTTTGTTTTGTCCAAACTTGACAACAATAAACAGATGAAAATCACAATATAAGGTTCATGTTACATCTCATTCTAATAGATGTCACTGTACGAATTCTCTTTAAAATGGAAATAGGAACTCAATTATCACTATTTCATTATACACTGTCAAAAATTAATGTATTTCTGTATTGTTTCATGTCATGATTGTTGTTATACCGGTCCGATTGCCATTAAAAATAAGACGATATCAGCGCCTCTAACGGATTTTCTATGAAAAAGAACCTTATAAGTCTCATCATTTTTGTGACCAATGTAACCATAGCAACCAGCCTTGAGTAAGAACAACATCTTCCAAACATATCATTTTTTCCTTTCTTTTCCATGGGTCAGTTGATCATAAAAAATTATATTCATATGAAAAATGTTATTATTCATTCAAAATTGGTATCTGGGTGTTTTCGAGGTCGGAAAATATGATTCTCTCATCAGAATTTGAAAATTCGGACGGAATTTGTAAATTCAAGATGGCGGAAGCAATATGGCGAGCGAGTTTTGTAACTATAAACCGATTCTTTTCAAAATTGGTACCTAGGGGTTTTCGTGATCGGGGATTATGATTCCTTCGTCAAAATTAAGAAATTGAAAATGGCTGATCCAAAATGGCGGATTTGGAAAGTAAGATCCGACTTCATTCAAATTTGGTATATGGTGGTTCTCAGGGTCGGAGATTAGGATTCTTTCGTCAAAATTAGGAAATTCAAGATGGCTGACCCAATATGGCGGACGTGTATTGTAATTATGATCCTACTCTCTAAAAAATTGTTATCTGGGTGTTTTCGGGATCTGAGATTATGATTCTTTTATCAAAATTTGGAAAGGGCGGAACTTGGAAATTCAAGGCGGTGGAACCAATATACCGGACGAGTTTTGTAATTATATACCGATTCTATTCAAAATTCGTAAGTGGGCGTTTTCGCGATCAAAAATTATGATTCCTTCGTCAAAATTAGGGAATTCAAGATGGTAGATCCAATATTGCGGACGAGTCTTGTAATTATGTCCCGATTCAATTCAAAATTTTCATCTGGGGCTTTAGGAGTCGGATATTATGATTAATCGTCAAAATTCGGGAATTCAATCTACTACTTCAACTAAAAAGAAGTTGAAATGAATGGTAGTTTGAAAAACTAAAGAAACACTCCTAAACAGGAAAACTGAAAAGAAGTAGAAAATGAACGATGAATATTAAACTGAAAAAATGTATAATAGAAATAATGTATATTATAGCCATAGATCTATTTAGCAATAAAACGTTTGCGAGGTCTGCTGGTATCAAATATATTTCTTGAAATTCCCTGCAAGATTATTCAAGACTGTAGGGGTACATTTAAAATATCATATCAGTATTAAAATTGATACGATTTTTAGAATTTTCATCCCCAATTATTGACACAGTAGACCTTGGTATTCATGTAGAAAAATTTTATGCCAATATCTTCACACAGCGTGTGATTTACATCATTTCAAATTCGTTATCTTCAATCCGTGAAAAATAAATGAAATTTCAGAATAATAATGGTATAATGTTTCGTTGAGTACTAATGAAAAATACTTCAATAATCCTCCATTGTTGCTAAAATTATCTGTTTCACTATTTAGTAGAGTAACATCCCATCCGAGATTCTTTTCGTAAGTTTCAAATTTCTTCAATTGTTTTTGAGATATCTTGAGTGTTGAAATCATGAACTCCATCGCCAATCACTCTGCTGAAGTTTTCATGGTATTCGGGGTGTTTGATTTTTCAGTGGAAATGATGTAACACCAATAACTATGGCTCTTAATGGTGCCTCAGCCTTTCCAACAGCATGCCAAGCACTCACAGCTATGTTATCTAGAAATACTTTGAACCCTGCAGATATCACAGTGCTCTACAGGAATTATAATGCTCCAGAGCCTCCCCCTATAGATCTCTTGAGAACACCCCAGTTTTTAGGTATGATAAATTTCTACCATTGTGATGAATTTGGAAAGCTTACCTTCTACCGTTTCATGTTTTTTAGAATTGTTGATCGATTCTTTGTTCAAACCCGGAGTGAAATTGAACCCGGACTATAAGCCTAAATATATTCACTTGTTGGCTTATGCCTCCAGTGTTTCTGAGAGTCAGAAAAAGGGCCAGAAGAGGATATCCAACAAAGACGAATTGCAACCCACAATTAGAGCAGTTGAAACTGTCCATAATATTTGCAATGGCAATAAGGGTAGCTCAGAATTGATAGCAGAACTATCTATCATCTATCAATCCCTAAAGTGAGTTTTATTCAATAAATTTGGATAAGCTAAACATTATTATAATAGTATTCTCCACTATTTCTAGGTTTTCATTATGTGTCTTTATTTTGAAATATAGGAGCATTGACAACATTAATAATCTTGTGGAATAATGTAGAATGTGAATGACAAATTCATCAAATTACTTAGATAGGTATTTTAGTTAGGTGGTACATAGATTATAAAAAGGATTTTGTGGTACATAACTTAAAAAGGTTGAGATCCACTGTCAACTTGTTTGGTCAATTTTCGGTACTTAATTCCTGTATTATGATTGAGCTTCCGAATCTAGCCACTGGGGAGGCACGTAAACTTTCAATATGTTCTTTGATCCTAGTTCAAATGGGATTCCCAGTTCGACCTATATAGGTTTTTTTTTTCATGACGTTTATTTTGTGAATTCGTGATTTTTCAAGTGTGTTTATTTTGCCTTGTATTGCTTGAAGTCACTTGATTTAGATGAGGTCGAATTGGTGGTAGATTAAATATTTTTCCAAATATCCCTTGTATGTTTCACTATATTTGATTTTTTCTGATCTGAATCTACTATTCTCTCTTATCAGAAAACTTGAGAGTCATTCTTAGACAGCTTCCAAATCTGGCCACTGAGGAGCTACAAGCTCCTCCTCCTTATACTTGCTCGAGATGTTCTTTGAACCTAGTTCAAATGGGATTCCCAGTTCGACCTACATAGGTTTTTTTCATGACGTTTATTTCGTGAATTCGTGATTTTTCAAGTGTGTTCATTTTGTCTTGTATTGTCTGAAGTCACCTAATTTAGATGAAGTTGAATTGGTGGTAGATTAAATATTTTTCCAAATATCTCTTGTATAAATACTGTCTGTATGTTTCACTCACTATATTTGATTTTTTCTGACCTGAATCTACTATTCTCACTCATCATAAAACTTGAGAGTCATTCTTAGACAGCTTCCAAATCTGGCCACTGAGGAGCTACAAGCTCCTCCTCCTTATACTTGATCAAGATGTTCTTTGAACCTAGTTCGAATGGGTTTCCTAGTTTGACCTACATATGTTTTTCTCATGTTAAATTCCATGAATTCTTGATTTTTCAAGTGTATCTACCATTGCCTGAAAAGTTACTTAATTTAGATGGATCTGAATTGGTGGTAAATTCGATATATTTCCAGATATCCTGTGGTATCAGTTGGTATAATTCGATGGGTGGAGTGTACAGTAACTGAACCAAGTTACTTCAAGTTATGCACAGAACACACCCCCATACATTTGGCGCTTCTTGATGAAGTTGTCACTTTACATCCCTTGTTGCACAACCAAGTTTTGGATTTGTTGATCCGTTTATTCGAGTCTAAGCAAGACGATCTCGAGATATTGGTGCAGGTGAGAAAATAATCAAAATAGATTTTCATTGTGTAATTTTGGATTATCAAGGAGTTTTGTTAGTTTCTGAAACTTTGCTGCAAAATTCCTTGAAAAATCTCAAAAAATTGCAAATGACGAAAAATTTAATATTCCTTTTATAAGGAGATTAATTTGGCGAAAATATTAATTTTCCAGTGGCGCTGTAAGATGTTCCAGAAAACGGTGTGATTTCAAGATACAGGGTGTTTAAATTCAGAATACGTTCGGATTTTTACAATTATTATGTAAAAATCGCTTTTGCCGATTTAAATGAACTTTCCAAAGTTTGTTGAAATCCATATGAGGTATCTTTTAGCAAATTTAAATGGCAGAAGGGTTAATTTATAATTTAGTGCAGGAAAAATAGCAGATTTATCTCCCTTTGTTTGATTTAGAGAAGACATATCTCTTTTCTGAGGAAAAATTGGATAATAATCAAGATATCTAAATGCCCTGGGGGTTATTTTTTGTGCACAAGATTTCAACACCCTGTATCTTGTCCCTAGGCTTTTGCCACTCTGTATAGATAATTTCAATGTTAATTTGCTTGATGCAAAGAAAACATTTGCTGCAACATGCAATCTATGTTTAAAAATAGCATTATGGTTTTAGCTGGAAATGCGTAAAATGGTGTTGGACAGAATGGTGAATCTCCTGTGTTCAGGTTGCGTCGTCTCAGTAGTGAAATACATCAAGCAATGTTGGCAAAAAGGAGACACTGACATATCATTAATCAGATATTTTGTCACAGAGGTATGTTTCTACAATAGGCCTGTTCGTTTGTATTGCTAAACTTGCTAAGATTGATTTTTTTCCCATAGTTATCTCTGTTCATAGCATGATGTAAACAGAGAAAGTCATAGAAAAAAATCAAGTTTTGCAGGTAGAGCAAGCACAAACGAACAGGCCTAATGAGTAGCAGTTTATTCATAGCTATTTGGGTATTTAGAGCGCAAAGTGATAGAATGCCGCTCGATAAAGAAAGTCTTTGGAGAGCGGTAATAACACTTTGTGCTCGAAATACACACAAGATTTTTTCTACTAACGCAGCTTTTGGAAATAACTGCCCTGAAAGTATGAGCGATTGAAATAGTTGAAAAAGTTCTTATCCATATTATCCCATGTGTCCAAAGGAAACAAAAAAAGAAAGATTGAAATAACTGACAAGCCAGAAAAAAAAATGTCGGGCCTACCGAGAATTGAAACTGGACCACCAGCGTGGCAACCTGAGCTTCAGACCTCTGAGCCATAGTACGATAAACTCTGCAATCAAATTGAACATTACATGCAATGAAATAAAAGATACACTGTCTTTCTGATGACAACAAAGAGTTCAAATATAAAGTATAATTCATCGTTTTCAACAGATATGCTTCATCGGGAGCTTCTTGTAGAAATTTGTTGGTATATATCTTCAGCGGTGAATATTTTGGATTTTTCTCGCTTTATATCCAATAGATTGTTTCTTGAGAAATGCGATAAGTTTCAGATACTTATTGATTCTGATATTATCTTTAACATTCAAGCATGTATAACCATCGAATATATAGACCAATGAGTTGATAACTTCAAAGTCTTTGGTTTTTTACCAAAATAAGCCAGTAAAACGTTTTCTGAATATATATTCACCATCTCGGAGTGGCACCAATTTATGAATGTATCATATTTCTTCCTTGATTTCTCCGGTAAGAGATTCAAACTCTTCTGCTATATCAGGAGGTGTGTTTGATGATTCACTGTCACTATTTTCCATCATGAAAGAATTGGTGGTTTTCAAGAATAGATAAGTATAGGTTACAGAGATGTGCAAACGTTTTTTCAATATTTCCGCTCACGAGCGCAAATTCTGTCAAAGAATGACATTTCTCGGAAAACGTCAACTTTGTGCTGGAATTTTAAAGCGTCAAAGGCTACTTTGTTGAGCATTTTTTGAAAAAAGATATTCTACTTTTGGCGTGCTATTGAAAAAATGTTGAAAATCATTTTAATTGAGAGAAAAATTTGTTGAAGGTTCTAGAAACTATTGGACCCCCTTACAGTTCAGAATTTGTCCATTTATTCATGCCAATGGTGGAAAATGATGAAATCACAGGTACAATGAGAGGAGATGGTGAAAATGACCCTGTATCAGAGTTTATTGGTAAGATATTGCAAAAAATGTCACTTCCCGATGTAACCTTCAATTATTATTGTTTTTTTTTTCAGTGTACTGCAAAGCAAATTATACAACCGTTTTATAAGAAAAGAAACTAGTGTACAATGTTGGAACTATTAGTAAATTTCATAAATAAACTAATAGGTATGATCTCAATAGCTTTTTTCATCAAGAAAATTAAACCCCAAATCATTTTGCATCAAAAATTTATTGTTCATATCAACACCTAAATGAAATTTTCAACACAAATTCTGCAAAAAAAAATCTTGATTATAGACGTAAAAAATGTGTTCTGGGGCAACCTAAATACTACTGACTATTGCATTTTGCAATTACTTAATAACATTCAATGTTCCATAATCTCAACTTAAGGCCTAGTTGTCAGGAAGCAAAATAAAATCACATTTTCACTTTGGCTTAAAAAAATTGCACAAATCAAGCAAGGAAATAAATACATGGCAAAAAATATCTATACAAGAGATTTAAGATCAGGAATATGCAAGCTGAAATTGAGTTGTTCACAAAAAAATTAATTCAATGAGCACCTGTTTTCAAAAACCTGTGAACTATATACGAAAAAAAAAATCACTGGGATTATGTCTGATATAGTTTCCCTTATAAGTACCTTAAATAAAACTATCACAGTGCACACACCAGGGTTTATATAAATAAAGTTCAAAGCTAAAAAAGAAATAGAGAGACTAAATATTGGCGAATGTTTAGTGAAAATTTGGTACGATATTTTACAAAGGATTTGGAGAAAAATGAACGATTCACGTTATCCTAATAGAAACCTTAGAAATAGGATTCAAACTTTGATACAATATTTTCTATATTCTTGTACCCTCCATATTTTCATCAGATTGGGGTTTATACAAAGGAATTCATGGTTTCTCAATGAACGTATATAGGGCTGAACAATAAAAATTATGGGCAAAACCATGAATAAACATATGACATGAATTCATTCAATATTATTAATAAACAGTGCCATTCTTGTACACCATCATGGTGAAAAACGTACACCACATCTGTGTGAAAACTATGATTTTGAAATGTATACTAAATGAAGTTAACAGTACTCCATAAAGTGTAAAAAATGCACCATAAGGTGTAAAAAAGTACACCATACGGTGTTAAAAGTACACCATACGGTGTAAAAAGTACACCATACGGTGTAAAAGTACACCATAATGTGCGAAAAGTACACCACAGGGTGTAAAAGTACACCACAGTGTGAAAAGTACACAATACGGTGAGCGTTCCTTAGGAATGGCACCATATATATTTTCGCCACCAAGATCACTAATCGTCGTTTTGTCTCGTAACTAAATGATCACTAACAGTGCCATTCTTGTATTCCACAACATGAAATACATTTTAGAAATGATGTAAATGTACACCATCATGGTGAAAAACGTACACCACATCTGTGTGAAAACTATGGTTCTGAAATGTATACCAAATGAAGTTAACAATACTCCATAAGGTGTAAAAAAGTACACCATAATGTGCGCAAAGTACACCACATGGTGTTAAAGTACACCACATAGTGTAAAAAGTACACAATACGGTTAGCGTCCCTTAGGAATGGCACCATATATATTTTCGCCACCAAGATCACTAATCGTCGTTCTGTCTCATAACTAAATAATCACTAACAGGTACATCAGGATAGAGATTGCGGTCAGCGGCCGTTCGGACGTCTTGCTGATTTAGGGTGGGGGCGGACGGTACGGGGTCGTCTTCCGAGACTTCGACGAAGTGCTCGGAATAGTAATATGGGGTGTTCAGATAGTCGATCATGCGCCTGGGCAACGGCAGGCCGGGGATCAAGTCTCTTCTAACGTTTTTGTGGATCACGAACCTGACCGAAATAAATTGATGAAATATAGAAATTTTCTTCCCGAAATCTGACTTTCAGGTCTGAGATAAAATCAGGATTCTGAGATACAAATCAGATTCCTGAGTTGCATGTCAGAAAAAACAAATCAACATTTTTCAATACTTACCGGCACATGTGCTGCAAACTTTGGACCTGCTTGAATCGAGACACCGGGTGCAACAGTTGAACCCTAACCGGTCCGATAACCGGCCGCCTATGCAGGAAAAAAAGATATCTGCCGCTACGCGAATGCTCCACTGCATTCTCTATAAACTCCACTATGGTCTGCGACTTGAACTTTGTACAGCTCCCAAAACTAAAATTACCTAAAAAAACCAGCAAGAAAGTTGAGTTGTGATAGTGGGAGATAACACCTTTGTGGTCTGAATTGTACACCATTTGGTGTAAGGTAACAGCATTCGGTGTAATATGTACACCGTTTAGTGTAAAATGTAAACCATTTTTGGCAAAATTTGCACTATATCGGTGTACTAAAATTATCAAAAAATAAATCAGCAATATTGTGACCAGTGGCATAAAATCAAACCGTTGTTATCTCAAAGCATAAGTGTACCAAATGGGGTGAGTAGAATCCAATATGGTGTGAGAAGTACACTACATCGATAAGAAACATTGTTGTGATATAAATCTGTCCAATTATGGTGAAAAATGTACACTATAATCTATAAAAATACAAATAAGGAGTAAAAGTACACCATATGGTGTTGAAAATATACAATACCGGTATTATGATTACACCATAAGGTGTATTGAGTACACCATAAGATGTAAATATTACACCGAAGTCGTACAAAGTATACCACAGTCATACACAACTCACCCTGATCATGATCTATCCTAACATGTCTAACGCAATCGTTTAATTTGAATGTTAAGGAGAATATGTAATGATCGTCACTACTATCACGCACGATGAAGGAACCGTCCGGTTCGTTGGAAAGGATTTTTTCAGCTGCCTCGCTAGATATCGGTCCCCAGTACCAACCGTACTGAAAAAATGAGAAATATACATGATTTGGTGGAATTTTTACCAAATCGTAGATTTATGTTTCGGACCTGAGTTTTAGTTCCCAAGAAAAGCTAATGGCTTGATCATTAAGGAGGGAAAAAGATAAGGATTCAAAAAAGAAAAATCAAGGAATCCGCTTGCATTCTTCTGAACGGAGACAATATCATTGCTTCCTGTTTAGTTGATATAGAAAGAACATGGTATTCACTACTGAAAACTGAACATGAAAATGGTAGATTCAAGATCAATTAATGAAAACACCCTGTAACTCATTTGTAGACTAAAATCACTTATTCATATGCCAACATCAGTATGACACTGAGAAGTTTCAAACTATAAGCAGAGCAAACTTCCAAAGAAAAATATTTTGCATATTCATGTTGCGAACGGGAGCAGATTCGTTCCCGAAACGTCCAAAGATAAGTAAAAATTCGATATTTTTTCAATATATCTATATTTCAGGAGGGGTGAAAGAACTTACAGTCACAAGTTCAGGCTCACTGATAGAAAAATTTGTTAAAAGCAGTGACATTCATGATCATCTGATTTGTCCCACTACAAATATATTGAAATAATACGCATATTTTTATTTTATAGAAACGAGGAGAGAAAATCCCAAAAAATCAAGTAAAATGAATGTACCACCTCCTCGATTACTTGATTATTGCAAACACTTTGATATTCGTTGCAAAACTACCGGTCAGTCCATAATCAAGGATTGAAGTTATCCCAACACCAATCTACTCACATCTTTGACTCGTTGTATGCTGGTCGCAAAATCCATCACCGTCTCTTCGTCTGGCACCCCCTTTCCCCCCTCTTTCTTCGGCAGGGGGGGCAGCGCTCTGCCGGTGATGTTCACGAGCGTCTCGCCCCCCTTTTCGTTCGCCTCCATTTTGACGGCCTCGGGGGACAAGAACCTCCGGAATCTGAACATGTTGCACAAGGTCTGTTTGAGGGAGAAGATCCTGAGAGAGAATATGTTTATTAAAGAACTAGCTGACGCGGAAAACGTTGTTTTGCTATATTCAATATTTCTAGAAAATATTTTTTGACTAAAATATTTATTTTTATTTTCTACTTCTTTCCAGTGTGGCTATCTATAGAAGAGTGTTTGATTAGTTTTCAAACTACTATTTATTACAAAATGCGTTCGCCATATTGGATCCGATAGCTTGAATTCACCAATTTCTGTGAAACGACCAAGATCATCGACCCCGAAAACCCCAGATAACAATTTTAAATAGCGTCGGATCTTAATTTCAATACTCGTCCGCCATATTGGATCCGCCTTCTCGAATTTAGAAATTTTTACGAAAGAATCATAATCTCCGACCCAGAAAACTCGCAGATACCAATTTTGAGTAAAATCTGATGATAAAAATTACAAAACTCGTCCGCCATAATGGATCCGACATCTTGAATTCCCAAATTTTGACGAAAGAATCATAAATCTCCGACCCCGAAAACTCCCAGATACTGATTTTGAGTAAAATCGGATGATAATAATTACAAAACTCGCCCACCATATTGGATCCGAGTAAAATCGGATGATAATAATTACAAAACTCGTCCGCCATATTGGATCCGACATCTTAAATTTCCAAATTTTGACGAAAAAAATCATAATCCCAGATACCAGTTTTGAGTAAAATCTGATGATAATAATCACAAAACTCGTCCGCCATATTGGATCCGACATCTTGAATTTACAAATTTTGACGAAAGAATCATAATCTCCGGGTCAAAAAACTCCCAGATACCAATTTTGAGTAAAATCGGATGACAATAATTACAAAACTCGTCCGCCATATTGGATCAGACATCTTGAATTTCAAAATTTTGACGAAAGAATCATAATCTCCGACCCAGAAAACTCCCAGATACCAATTTTGAGTAAAATCGGATGATGATTATAATAACAAAACTCGTCCGCCATATTGGATCCGACATCTTGAATTTCCAAATTTCGACGAACGAATCATAATGTCCGACCCAGAGAACTCCCAGATACCAATTTTGAGTGAAATCGGATGATAATTATTACAAAACTCGTCCGCCATATTGGATCCGATATCTTGAATTTCCTTTCGACGAAAGAATTATAATCTCTGACCCAGAAAACACCCAGATACCACTGGACTTGCAGAAACTTTCAAGTTCAATAACAGCATAACGAATAAGTGTGATAGACATTTTTTTAAAATGAAGTACTAACATTATTGCAACTACCATGATGTTGAAATGGTTGGGATGTTTTTAAAATGCGACTTTCTCTACAATGGTACAAGATATCCATTAAAATAAATAATACTATTTTTGTAGAAAAAAGATGAAGGAATCAAACGGTGGAAGCAGACTGCCAAATTTGTCACCTCTGTCAAAAATGCCTTCATTAAACGGGACAAAATTGTCCCATCCTGTATAAAACATAACCACTGAACAGCCGTTTCCATTTTGAAAGGAGCATTAGTAGAAGTTGATTTAGTTGCCCGAATATCATTGCCATGGTAACCGTTTAATAAAAGTTATAGATGGAATATTTTTTTTATTCAATCCTTCAAGGTCAATAAAGCCGTGAAGTGCGGTAGCATTTTTTTTAAATGGACCACTGACATTATTTTGGCTCACCCTATCTATTTATGACATGACCTTTCACGGACACCCTGTATAAAATGGTATTGAGAGCATATACGTATTAATAATCAATACGGATAATCTCTATCTGTTTCCATAGCGAAACATGAAGCCGATTTTTGAAGACAAAGGACTATCCATAAGGAAAAGTTTTGAAACGATCAGACACATACTACTTTGATTGAAAGGCTAGTAAACGTCATTGTCCACCGAAACGCATGTCTTTGATGACTACTATAGTAGCGCATGGCGCATGCGTATCATGCCACCAAATCCTTATGGATATTCATTTGTTTCATATTTTTGGCTTCATCCTGGCACCCGTTATGATCCGTATTGTTTATTAATACGTATATGATTGAGAGTCATACCTGGCCGGGTGTTTGCGCTTCTTCTCGTCCTTCTTCGTCGGAGACGTGTCAATCTGTTTGCCGATGTGGTCGCAGGAGTCCTTGACTTTCTTGTTCTTGATGTTGATCAGAAAAGTGTTCTTTTTCGAACGCGTCATCGGCGGTAGGTCCAATTTACCGGCGGCCACTGGATACTTATTGTTGTTGTTGTTGTTCGTTAGCAAGATGGCGGTTTTCGGTTTGTAGTTGTTGTCGGGAATGTCGGAGGAGTCCGAGGAGCTGGAGTAAAGGGTTTGCAAGTACTGGCGCACTTCTTGGAGGGTCATGTGGATCGGTTCCCCTTGGCAAGGAGACGAAGTGCCTGCCACGCTGTGGCGTTTCGTGTCGATTTGCAGTGGCTGATGGGAAATTATTTGCTCACTTTTCAACTATCATACTAGGTGTTTCATAATAATAATGATGATGGTTCGAAAAAGTCAAATAGTCGATTATTTGATTAATAAATTCTTGAAAACAAAAATGTTCCCCCCTGTAAATAATCAACCGGGAGATCGAATGACTTGAAATTTGGTCACCCATTATATTTGATGATGCTCACTAGAATTATGCTCTTGAATAAATCGTAGATATACAGGGTCACACCGAAGTGCACCTCAACTTTCTTATTTGAATTGGGACACCCTGTATATTATTCCATATTCAAGTAGATATGGCAAAAAATGAAACGATTCAATAAAAAATTTATATGATTAGATTTCATCAATATAACACGATTGAAATCGAATGATCACCAATTGTCTCGATGGTGATAGCAACTGGCCAGCTCGGTCGCCAGACCTCACCCCACTTGATTTTTATTCGTGGGGCTATACTTGAAACAACAGGTTTATGAGTCACCAATTGTGATTATGGAAGAAATGAAAGAGAAAATGACGAATTTATGCACGAAAATTGATCGCAACGTGATACATAGGGTCACAATGAACTTCATCAAAAGAGCTAGGAAATGTTTGCAGCAGAAGGGACGACATATTGAGCAGTTGAGGTTTTAATTATTTTTTTTTCATTCGATTTCAATCGTGTTATACAGTGTGACCCACTTCTAATGGAACCACCCCTGTATCTTACGTAATCGTTGGGTAAGGATCCTGAAATTTGCTGGAGCGAGAGATATACCAAAAATGCACTCTATGACCAAGTGGGGTCATCTTCAGTGATATACACTGCTCGCCAACAGCCATGAAACTACCCCAATTTCCGGAAAATTATATTAGGAGTCAAAATAGGTCGAAAATCACTTCAGATTTGGAATCAGGATGACCAATTTACTAACTATTCAAATTTTTCCTGGAAAATTTTCAGTTCGGAAAAAGGAAATGTTGTCGCATTATGGAAGCACCCCCGTATCTCACGTAATTATTGAGGTAGGGTTCTGAAATTTGCCGGAGGAAGAGAAAGTCCAAAGATAAAGTCAATTACGTGAGATGCGGGGGTGCTTCCATAAAAAATGCGACAAAAGTTCCTTTTTCCGAACTGAAAATTTTCCAGGAAAAATTTGAATAGTTACTTAATTGGGCGTCCTGATTCCAAATCTGAAGTGATTTTCGACCTATTTTGACTCCTAATATCATTTTCCGGAAATTGGGGTAGTTTCATGGCTGTTGGCGAGCAGTGTATATCACTGAAGATGACCCCACTTGGTCATAGAGTGCATTTTTGGTATATCTCTCGCTCCAGCAAATTTCAGGATCCTTACCCAACGATTACGTAAGATACAGGGGTGGTTCCATTAGAAGTGGGTCACACTGTATTAATAAAATCTAATCATATACATTTTTTATTGAATCGTTTGATTTTATGCCATATCTTCGTAGTTGTTTGAAAAAATCCCATCAAACCCGGCATTGTAGAATTTGTAATAATGAACTCTACTTGAATGTGGAATAATATACTGGGTGTCCCTATTCAAATAAGAAAGTTGAGGTGCACTTCGGTGTGACCCTGTATACCTACGATTTATTCAATAGCATAATTCGAGTGAGCATCATCAAATATACTGGGTGACCAAATTTTAAGTCATTCGATCGCGTGGTTGACGGAAAGATTTATCGGACCTCTCTATATTTCAATGCGGCCACGTTGGTAGCATTGCAGAGAGAGATGGAATAGGAGATAACTTTCCTCTCTCTCGTTCAAGATAAAAAAAGCTCAATTGCTGCTTATGTTTTTTTTCTTTTTCCCTACCGCCTCTTAAAATTCACTGCCGTGGGCTGATAGTGCCCTACCCTAAATCCGGCACTGATGAGCATGCCGGAATATTGGCACTCTGTTCCTTTCCACTTTCACATTGCTATGGTGATATGAAATACATTCTGAGCAACAACACAGTGTGCTATATCCTGCTTTCATATTTTGCAGTACCTAACAATATTTTTAGCCTTCTTTCAAAAACGTGGATATTTGTAGAATTCCTAATTTCCCTAGGAAGCATATTTAAAATTAATTATGATTGACTAATGGTGAATTAATATTTTAAAAAATCCAAGGAGAGTTCTTAGCAGAAAAAAATTTAAACATTTCTTTGAGCTTCTTTCTCACATTTTCGAGTTCAGTGAAAATATTGACTTTTATGCCCTTATTTTAACAAAACTTGATAATATGTAGATATATTAGTGCTCTCATACTGTTATAATGAAAACTTATGGTTACTTTTGAAATATGATATATATTTGATAACACTACTTACTAAGAAATGGGAAGAAATTTAGTAATTGTAGCAATGAATTACAAATAAATGTCATTATTATTATCATTATGTTGGGAAAATGGTTTATTCAACTTCCCTAGTTGCCTTGACACACATATTTGTGCAAATGAGGAAAGAAAAAAAATTGTTTTTTATGATCTTATTCACTTGGTTTGAAGGCATTCAGGGAACTAGTTATTTCTCTGGAAAAAAATCTGGAAGCAAATAATTTGGATTTTTGTGGTTGAGCCAAACACAGTGCAGTATTTTTTTTTAAATTTTTAGGAATTCTAGCTTTTGGCTTATATTAATTCCTTCAGAAAAAACGGGGTTTCCCTAGATCAGGATTTCTAATATTATCGAATTCAAAAACCACCCATGAGTGCTGCCACTGCTGCCAGGATTACTTCCAGGAAGTTGCATCTGAAATATTGATTAGACATAATAATACATGTATGTATGTATTGCCATTTAACAAACAAATTTGGAAAGCAACCAAGAAATCTTAGTTTTTGTTCAAACAGAAACTTTATTAAAAAATTCTTATGTATTCACTTTCCTTCTGCACCCCCCTGCATCCTGCTGCCTGTGCCCAAGAAAATATAATTATTTTATGTAATTTTATAGATGGTATGAAATGGATTTTGAAATTCTGATATCATTGATTTATGGCCTACCAGATAAAAATTGCTGATTTCAGCCCTCATTAAAAATTACAACAGGTATGCCCTTGAATAATGAATTTCTTCAGGATTTTCTTCTGAATGATGTGAAATAAACATTTCTTTCCCTGTGAAATATCATCAAATATTTATAGTTTACATAGATATATCCTGGAATACCTATTTCATTTACATAACATGATCTCATATCAAATTTTCTTCTGAGTGAAATCCTGAAAATATGGGATACAATATTCAAATTACCTTTTCAATTTTCACAGCTGACTTTTTGCCTACCATATAATGCCTACCCTCCAGCTCCCTGCACCCAGAGGCAGTATTTCTCCTCTTCTTCCTACTCAGCTGCACACATTTAGGCTTTATCAGAGGCTTTACAACATCAACAGGCACTGCATACATGTCACTATCAAAAGGAACATTGTACAAGTCACTGATCTGATTGGAAGATAGAGTATCATGTGAAACTGCTTGTGTGATGAAGGTGGAATCATCCACTCTGTGGCAAGTTGGAATTGATAGGGAGTTGTGGGAGCTGGACAGTCTGGAAGACCCCAAGGAGCTCCTTGAGCTTGGTCTACCAATATGGCAAGGACTGAATGGCATGAAGAGCTTATGTAGATGGAAGTGACTCAGTATCCTCAGTTTTCTCAGCTCTGCTTCTTTGAATTCATGAATAGCTTTTCTTATGATTTGAGCTGCTAATTTGTCACAAAAAAACTCCAGCATTGAAGTCTTGGGACTGTCTTGGAATTCCAGAGGTGGTTCTATGGGTGAGGAGTGTTTGCAAGTTATGTCAGTCCAATGGGAACCTTTTTTCAAGGTATTGAAGTTCTCACCACAAATAATGTCAGACATACCATCCAAAGAATCATCTTGGGAAAGAGATCTTTCTTCACAATCACTATCCTGAAAACATTATCCATACAACTTTTATATTGTTGATCTGAACTTGATTTCTTATTAGGTTATCAATGACTTTGTTTCTACCAAAAGATGAAAGCATCAAAAAGTATCTAGTAGGTCATTTCTTACCTCGAAAAGAAAATGTTTTCGTCCATTCCGATTCTCTCCACTTGATGCTGATCCAGTAGTTAGAAGCAATCCACTATCGTCGCTCAAAATGAATGCTTCTGACCAAGTTGAGCTGGAAGGAGGAGATTCCATGACTCACGAATGTTTATTCATGTCATCAGGCCTGTGATGAGAATAATTAGCTCATCTCAAAGGCTATTTATTCAATAAAACACTGCCTATCACTAGCTGTTCAGGGCACTGCAACATTTTTGTTCTTGTTCAGATTATGAGGTAACTGCACTTTCATAATCATTTTCACATTCTTGCATCTTTCACAAGAATCAAGAATCTCAAAATGTAGATATGCATGTGCAAAAATCATTTTTCTTTTACGATCATTTCATAGTTGATCACTTCATTCCTCATTCGCAAATTTATCTTGACATTAGTGACATTAGTCATCCACACTTGTCATCACGATGACACGATGTCGTGGGTCAAAGTCAAAACTGTCAAAAGTGCTCAAGATGGTTCGTCAAGGTCAAGCGCGTCATAAACCAAGATTGATAAACTAGACACGTGGATAAGAAATTCTACAGACTACGCCACTTGGGGTGCCGGTGCGGTGTTGTCCTCGGCAGATGGTCTAAAGAATTCACGTCAACCAGAATCAATCTATATTTGCCATAATTGTACGCCACCCACTGACCTTTGGTTTCAGGTCAAGATCATGATCTTTATGTTTAATGATCTTGATATTGTGTTGAGGTGATGTATTTTGTGCGATTTTTTCTGTGACGTTCTCTGTTTACATCATGCCATGAACAGAGACAGAGAAAACTATGGGAACGAAATCAACTCTAGCAATTTCAGCAATACAAAGGAACAGGCCCATTGAGTTCCTTGTTAAAACAGGTGACTTTTCAGGCCTGTTCGTTTGTGCTTACTCTACCTGCTAAACTTGATTTTTTTCTATGACTCTCTGTTTACATCATGCTATGAACAGAGATAACTATGGGAATAAAATCAACCTTAGCAAGTATAGCAATACAAACGAACAGGCCTTTCGCTTCATCGCTTCAAACCTCAACTGTCTTTGTCATTTTTGGCGTCTTTCGCTCTTTCCGTCAGTTTCGTCTGTCCTACTTTCTGTTCTTTTGGTATTTCAGCTTATTCAGCATCAGCTGTCAGCTGAAAAAAGCGTCACTGTTTTATGTTTTCTGACCAAAATCCCAAACTTCGGAAGTTTTTGCTTAGCTAATCCAAGTATCTCGTATTAATTTTTTCAATTTCAGTCATCCTAAAATGTACACATAAGTTAAACAAATATAGTAGTTGTGTGTTGAGCAGTGTGCAGTAGCAGCATAGTAGCAGTATTACTAGATCAGTCAGCAGTTACTATGGCAAACGATTTGCAAATAGAAGACCAACCGGTACTCCCACCAGACCCTTCGCCGAAGAAGCTTGACGAAAAAGAAGAGACCGAGGATGATAGCAACTCGCAAATGGAAATCCAACCTGTTCCTCTTCCCAATATAGCTACCAAGCGCCAGAGGGGAGATACTGGCACTCCTCCAGTTGCCCGCAAGAAACGTAAGAGCGACCTAAACGTATCAAGCGAGGACAAGAGCCCGATATCTGTCCTAAATGAACTACGTTCAGGTCTCAAGTATGAAATCGTGGAAGAATCGGGGCCCCCTCATAGCCCTACATTCAAAGTATGTGTGGAAGTAGATGGACAAAAATACTATGGCACAGGGAACTCTAAAAAAGCTGCACGAAGTGAAGCTGCAGCAGAGGCTATAAAGTCTTTTATTCAGTTTCCCACAAATGGAACCATTTTGTCCACAAACTCTGTGTCCCCATCAAAGATGGATTTTACTTCAGATTTGGAGAATCAAAAAAGGAAATCAATATTGAAGAACAAGGAGTCCAAGGGACCCCTCATGTTGTTGAATGAGTTATTTCCAAATTCAGAATTTTCATGCATTTGTAATGAAAATGACCCTTATGCAAGGTTCAAAATCACACTGACCATCAAAGGTGAGACATTTGTGGGAACAGGGTCCAACAAAAAACTGGCTAAAAATGCAGCTGCATCAGCTGCTCTTAACAAACTCATCAATTACTCTTTCACACCACCAAATGTTTCAATCAGTGATGCCCCTTCTGTTACCAAGGAAGACCAAGAGATTGCTGACACTGTTGGAAGAATGGTGAATGAAAAATTTGCTACCCTAATGGCCAAAGATATAGCACATATGAAACGCAAAGTATTGGCTGGCATAGTAATGACAAAGGGTTTATCTTTGGATACTGCTGAGGTTATTTGTGTCACTACAGGCACAAAATGTGTATCTGGAGAGTACATCAGCATACAGGGGGCTTCACTTAATGACATGCATGCTGAAATACTTGCTAGGCGCTGCCTGATCAAATATTTATATAAGGAACTGGACATCTTCCTGGATTCTGCTACCAGCTCTCAGTCAATTTTTGAGTCAAAAGATGATGGTAATGGATATCGTCTCAAACCTGGCATTGAGTTTCATCTGTACATAAACACAGCACCTTGTGGAGATGCTAGAATTTTCAGCCCACATGAAGAAAACACAGCTATGGATAGACACCCAAATAGGATTTCTAGGGGGCAACTCAGATCTAAAATTGAGTCAGGGGAAGGCACCATCCCTGTGAAAAATGCAGCTTCAATTCAGACATGGGATGGTATAGTTCAAGGTGAGAGACTACTGACCATGTCTTGCTCAGACAAGATCTGCCGTTGGAATGTCCTAGGACTGCAGGGGGCGCTGTTGTCGCATTTCATTGAGCCCATTTACTTGAGATCCATAGTACTTGGCAGCTTACTGAAGCAAACACATTTGTACAGAGCCATCTGTGGTAGAATTGAGGATAGTCTGCAGGGATTGCCTCCACCATACCTCTTGAATAGACCATTGATGCTGAGAGTGACTTCTAGTGAAAATAGGCAGCCCCAGAAGGCACCAAATTTCTCAGTAATATGGACTGAAGGGCTTGAGACCCCTGAAATTGTCAACTCTACTACAGGCAAGCCAGAAGAAGGAGTGTCCATAGTATGCAAACAAAAGTTGGTCAGTCTGTTTGCCAAGTTGTGTGGAAAACTTTCCAGTCTGACAAAGGTGAATATCACACCTGCCACCCTGATGGAAGCCAAAGAGTCTGCAGGGAATTATAATGAGGCTAAGAAAACTCTGTACCAGGCATTTGTGAGATCTCAGCTGGGTAGCTGGGTCTCCAAACCCATTGAACAGGATATGTTTGACATTGCATCATCTGAAGCTTAGAACTTTATACATAGTACCTAGTTATGTGTAAACTTTAGGTCTGTTCATTTGTTTTGTAGTTGTGTTAGTAGATATATGTAAAAGATCAATTCGAAAGTGGTTCAAGTCACAAAAACTTGATGGGAAATTGAATGTTTGTTGATGTTTATTGTTCACAGTGCTGAAAGAAAGTGCTAGAAGAAGATTTATGAAGTTTGCTAGTCTGATGTATTTGAATTCATCAGCTTGCTCTATGCATTTTTATCAAGACAAATGTACAGACCTATTTATATTCTTTTTTGAATAATTTTTTATTTCTTTAACTGAATAAGATTGAAATCATTATGTTGAGTTGATTTGAATTTGTATCATTTTATGTAGGAATCCAATTTTTTCTATGTAGTGAATGTGGTAGGTAAATAAAAAATAATTGAAAATATCATCCATTGATTTCAAGTTTTTCCCAAAATTTTAATCCCACTGTATAATCTCTATGATCTCTGTCATTGTCTGCTAAATAGAGAAAAAATCTAGTGAGCTGGAATTTCTGGTCTTCCCAATAGCTCAGTTGAGTGTAGGACCACTAGAGGGTGTTACCGTATCGTACGATATGATCGTCACTTTTTTCTAGAAAAATTTCGAAATTTGTGGTTATGTAAGATGTCACTGGTTGTCAGTGTCAAGAGCTGTCATGCCATCGTGACTTGTTTTGAATTTTTTTCTAAAATATCATTCTTTTTCAATTCTCATTGTTCCAATATTCCTTTCGTTTATAGATATAGTTTTGTGTTGTGCTCCCAGTATTATAGTAGTTTATTCTGATTATCAATGTGTAACAAACTCTGTCTCCTCCTATTGTGCCTACCAGAAATTGTGAAACCATCTCCATTCATGGATTTCCAAGTGATATTTCTTTGCGACAAAGTAGATAGTGTGGATACATTCGATATTGAGTGTTACAGGATCATCACAAGTAAGGAAATCAGAGCCCTGATCAAATGCTAATAATCGATACTTCCGATTCTACCACTCATTTACTTTGGGTACTACAAGTTCCAAAATTGAGAACTATTGTAATGTCTGTAACAACCATTTTGAGAAGGAATGATTTAAGGTGACAAAACACGGGAAAAAGTTGCTTAGAAAAGGATCAATCCACTGGAATTTTTAGGGTAAGTGTAGATTTAATATTGATATGATGAATGAATGTGGAAGAACAGGTTGGGTTCTCCTTCGAGCCAGCAGGAAGAAGTTTCTCACAGTCATTGAGCAATGAGCATATGTAATCTCCCAATGTGAATATCAATTTGTTTGGTTTATGGATATTAGTTTTGTATGATTTCACATAGGTATTAGCTTCTCACTTAATTATTGAGTACTATGATAGACTATGATGATACATTATACCTATTATATGAAAATTATTTTTAGAAACCTACTGATGCCTGGGTGACTCCATCATCATCATGTAAGCAGATGTGTGTGATGAATTCTTCACTCAACTAATGAAATTTGCTCATCTCAAGATAAGATATTTATTTGCATGCAAACTACAAAATCAGTACATATAAACAGGTAGAACACTGATTTCAAAAACTTATTACACATAAGGTTTGTATACAGTGAGTCTGATAAATTAAATGCTCTTATTGTAAAGATAGTGTTGAAAATGTGGCAAATTGAAAATGAAAATTGATCTGTTATTCTAGGATATTCCTCAGAAATGGATAGTTTGACTAAAAATCAATTCATTCAGTTCTTTACGAAAGCACTCTGTATTGCTGAATGTTGTGTTTAGTTAATTTTCTATCAGAACATTATACTTGGTTCTTGTAAATTTTTTTCTCAATATCTGATTCTATATAATGTACAGGGTGTTAGTGAATGAGTGTGATAAACTGATAATCTATACAGGGGGTGATACCTTGTGATATATTTTAGGAAATAAAAGTCGCTTATAAATTGATAAAATAAATAAAAACCATACTTCCTACTTCAACATCCATTATCTCAAAAGGTTAGGACATCATCATGTTTATATGAACTTCATTTAATAAAATATCACATGGAATCACCCTCTGAAGTTTTCTTCACAACTATTCACAAACACCATATATATATTATAGGTATCTGTATTTGGTTTATATTATAAACTATGAAAATATTACATAAATTTTCACACTTTCACTTACTGTTCACTTCCAGGATGACGGTGATGCAAGTGGTGAATATCGAAATAATTGATGAATCACTGGATATCAACACGGTGATAATTATGAATAATCTTTGGTAAGAGTCCAAATTGCTGAAAGTGGAGTGGAAATTTTCAAAGGAAGGAAGGAATGCTCAAAGTCATCTCCACAAATGTTAATGACGTTGTTACACAATCAGGAACATGTTTCATTCTTAGAAAATACCATCCTCAGCCTAAGCCCCTAGTAGATATTTTATTACTAAAGTCCATCTTTAGCCTAAGCCTCTTGAAGAATTTTCATTAAACTGAAAGATGGTATTTTCTAAGAAAATACTATCTTCAGCCTAAGCCCCTTGTAGATATTTCATTACTAAAGACCATCTCCAGCCTAAGCCTAAAGTAACACCCCTCCTCTTTACTTTTTGATGCTTAAAAAATGTGTCAAATCTAATTTTTGGTATTAACCTTTGAAAAACTTTCATTGAGTCTGGATGCTTTATTGAAATATTTTCTCAGTGGCATGTGGGATTTAAATATGAATTTTCAACACCCATTGATTCTCTAGTGGGAGGGTTACTTTATGGACTATGGACAGACCATGTATATATTCAAAAGCAGATTTATTACTGATATTGTTATCACATATTTCATGAAGCATCAGTTTCTACGAAATGTTGGGTGTTCATAAATTATATTTTGGCCTAAATAACTTGAAAAACGTGTTGTTCTCTGCTCCAACAATGCATGCCCTACTAAGGGAGCAAATGCAATTGTTCAATTAATTCAGGAATAATTAGTCACCACTTATTTTTTTTATAATTATATTTTACTGTATATACTAGTAAGGTATCTGATGTTTGATTGTGGATTAACGAATTTACCTATTTCTTAGATCTGATTATAAAAAAATAAACATTCAGAAGAAATAATGAAAATTCATGGGTGAAATTTGTAACTGATTCTCAATTGTTCAAGTTGTTCTGTATTCTGTTGTATCAAATGATATGTGATACAAATATGCAAATACATGGTCCACACAGAAGTTATGGCATTATTATACTTACTTATATTGCCTTGTATGCTATGTCATAAACAATCAAAAATGATTCTCTATATTGTCCTATTCAGAAACTGGAAGTATTTACAATTTTATTTGCTTAATTTAAACAATTTTATCCAAATAGGAATCCAGTAAATTACTTTGATATTTGGTCATTGTAATGAAACTTGAGATTATTTGAATACAAATATATTTGAGAGCCAATAAAACAATATCATGTTGGGAATGAATCTGATTTATTTGAATAATTAATTCAATGACCTTTTTTCCAGATTCCAGTACCTATAGTCCCCAAATCAGTCATTTCCTGATTCCACATCTCATCCAGTAACTCCTGATAATTTTTCAACATTATATGTCATATAACATGGGCCCCCTGAAGTTGCCACCTCCATCTTCTACAATATTCCTGAATATCTTCTGATGGGTTCTGAAAATTGACATATTCATCCTCGGAGTATTCATCTGAAGTAGCAGTGATTTTTTTATATTTACTGTGTATATTTCATGACCTGCCTATGTATTTTATCTATGTTATGAATTAGTTTCATTGAATAAGTAAAGAATATACAAGAATTTGAAGAACAAACACTACAAAATCAATAAAAAAATATTAATATACATTTTGAATATTATTCAATTTTATTAATCACAGATGTATGAAATGAGTTTCAAAAAGGGATACTGATTTCCACTCTATGCATTGATTGTTTGATATTGTCCCAAGAAACGTAGTTGTTTTTAATAGGAATACATAATTACAAAAACAATTTACATAATTTGTAATGCATGAAAGTTACAAAAATTATATCATTATATCAAGCAAAAAAAAATAATGCAAATAATCATGAAATTCCAAACTTATTCATTATAAGTATTCAAATAGGAAATGGAATCATCAAAGTCTCTGAAGCAAGAAGCTAGCAAAGCATCTCATGAATTTCAACATGAGACACATCTCATAATTTTAGGATTATTTTAGGCTAATTTATTACTCAATTCTGGAATTGTTTGCACATCGAAAAATCTGTGGCTTTGCTAGCTTTGGCCGAACTCAGCATTTTTGAAAAACAATATTTTTCTATGATTTGATAAAGTGAAACTGTAGGCCATTGTAGGGCATATTTTATGCTAATTTATTACCCTATTCCCATATTTTTTATTCACTTCATTCACAAAGAAATCTGTGGCTTTGCTAGCTTCGGGCGAACTCAGTAGAGCCATTTTTTAAAACAGATTTTTCACTGATTTGATATATTGGGATTTATTGGCTAATTTTCGGTTAATTAATTACCATATTTTCAAAATTTTTGCTCAACGTTCTCAGAAAAAAAAAACTAAACGATTTGTTGAAATATGCCTTATTCACTGGGCATTATGTGTTTCGCGTTTCTATCAAAACCATATTTGAATAAACGTAACCATCCATTCTCAAAGTGGTCCAGTACTTTTCAACAGGATAAAAAAACGAACTCAAAGTCGGTCGACCACAATATTTATTATAAAAATATTCAGCGTGTGACTATACTAGTCAAGTAGGTACTTTTCTCATTGTGTCTGAAGATGGCCGTAGAGCCGAAACTATAGTCACACGCTGATTATTTTTATATTAAATTTTGTGGTCGACCGACTGTGAGTTCGTTGTTTTCTCCATATTTTAATTTTATGACGATTTCATGATGCGAAGTGTTAGTATTGATTGTAGGCTCAGTTACAATCACATTTTCTTATTTTTTGCTGCATATTTTTTGGAAGAAACCTGTGGCT